CAGAGTCGACGTTACGAAGAAATCTTTGGAAGTTTTACTTCACCGTGACGTCACACCTGTGACGTGCGGTCGCAACACTCGAGCGAAAGAACGCTTTCGGACCGAGGTCGTTCAGTTACGTTATAGAACAAGAAACCGTTGGTTTTCGACTTTTGTATTCCTATTTTAAAAATATATTACGCGTTATTGTTGGGAAATATTATTAGTGGTGTTTACGCGTGATGTAAACAAATTTAAAAAAACACGCTAATACGCGTTTATCGGAAATGTGATTTCGATGAAACGCCTGTTTTTCATTTAGGAGATAAGTTTATAAAGGAGATTAGCGTAGTTTTGTTTATTTGAAACATTCTGTTTGATTTGGACGCGTGTCGTTCGAGTTCGAGTTCGATTCGAGTATTTTGAATTTCGAATACTAGCGAAAACTTCACACAATAAATGAAATAAGGATAGTTAACATAATTTCTCTTTCAAAAGTATCAATTTTATTTATGTTGTTGCATTGGAAATACGAAATATGGGATGTTTGCGCTAGTGTTTGGAATTGTTTTTTTTTTTAATCTCAAAAGCCGGGTCTTGCCTGTATCGTACGCCAGACCTCAAAAGCTATTTCCTGTTAGTTTTTAAATAAGAATTCTTTAAATTATAGATTATTATATATGTAATGTTATCTCACCCGGAAATTGCTTTCCGACTGGAGGAAGCAATTTTTTCGTCGAATTTTTCGCTTTAAAACGAAACCCTTTGCAGCTATAACGATTGCTTAGTTTAATGGGACCTCGTAACGTAATTTAAGGAAAATTACATTTTTTCCTGTTTTGATAAATACGTATATATAATAAATGTATTTTAATTGGGCGCATGTGTCATTGCTGTTATGTGGTTCATTATTGTATAATCACAAACGGATTTAAGTTGATGAATCAATCAATACTGTTGATAAATATTTGGTTGTTGTACTTGAACATTTAGGTAACGGAAATTGTGTTTTTTTTTTGTTAAAATTGCAAAATGTTTTTATTCTAAGTACGTCCTTGTACTTTTTATATTTACACATAAATAAAAATTGAAAAAAAAAAAATATTCTAAATAAGTTACATACAGAAATGCTAATTAATGCAGCTGTTTGTGAATTTTTTATTTGGCTTCATCACCTTCAAAAAATATATATAGAAATCAACTTAAATCCAAATTTAACGTTGCACATTCGAGAATCGGCGAACTATTAATTCTAAATAATGTTGATATTATAACTGTTTATTATAATATGTACAATGTAAATAGTTTATAAAATTATATGTATTACACATATATATATTAATTAAATCGTTATGTTAAGTGTAAATATTAAGAACTAAAGAGCTATTACTATTGACTTTTATTAGTAATACTTGCCTTCATAAATCGATTGGTCCCTGTGTACGCAATAAAACCTATAATGTTTTTTTTTTGTATTTGCTTTTTTTTTTTATTGTGAAATTAATAACGAACAAAAATAAACATTATTTCACTCTGCTTAAAAGCTGTTTTCGACCTTTGGCAGTACAAAAAGGGACCATCGATTGATATCGTAATAAGTTTTGACTGATTGATTTTAATGCGATCTAAGTTTTTTTTTTACTTTTTTATTTACACTCCATGCATTTGTCTGTTATAAGGATGTTAAATTTAACCCTTTGCTAGAGTGCGCGCAAAATTTTTTCGCCCCCAATTTAGAAACGCCAAAAACAATGTCACGTGCGATTCATTTTTAATGAAAGTTTATTACTACTGGTCACGTTTCGCGTCACTCGATTGCGGTTGAAGAAGGGTCAAATCTGGTTTTTAGGTACAACAAACAATATAGTCATATATGCTTAGTTTAATCATAAATATTTTAGTCATTAATTTATTTACGGACATTTCGATTTTAGCCTCATTTTAGATAATTTTACGTCATTAAATGCCTGTTTAGCCTTGAAACCGTTGCGTGGTTTTTTTTTTATTATTTTAAAAACTAATCGATCATTATGAAGATTTTTCAATGTTTGTAAGTGTCAATTGTTGTTCAATGTTCCACGTTTATTGAATGTTTTTTTTAAATATTACACAGTGAATGTATGGCAACATCATTAATTATAATGTCAATAAATAAAATATTAAACAACTTTGCTTCGTTTTATTTGATACGCAGACCGAACTCGAAGTATAATTTTATTATTGACGAAAAGGCTTATTTGCATACCTCTGATAATTTGTTTTGATTTAAGCTACTCCTTGCAAAAGATTGAGAGCCAGCAAGTGTGTACATAACGCCACTTCTAATTTACTGCGGGCCACCAGTTCTCAAACTCATTAACGCACGTGGCCGTCGGCAACGTTGGTTGTCAAGTTCCCGCCAATTGAAATTGATATTAAAATACAGCAAAAAATTACCTCTTGAAATTTAATGCAGTATGAATAAAATACCGTGGTAGCGGGGGGAAGCTCTTCGAGATAATAGCATTACCGGCATTTGACGAAAGAATTTGCATAGACAAGAAAGGAAGGAATGGAAATAAGTTTTTTGTTGGGTCACCGGACTTTCAAGCCCGCCACCGCATTCTGTATTTATAACGGATGGCCGAGGCAGCTCGCTAGTGCCACGGGTTTCTTGTATTACACGGCATCGCACCAGAATAACGCCCAGTACAGATTTCCTAGTATCAACGCGTCGTGTATTTCGGAATCGGAAATAAGGATTCCGGGAAATGTCTGGCCTCGCGGCGAGCGCGCCGCTTCGTTCGTACGCGTCTGAATGATATAGTACCTTTTAAAACATTAAGCGGTCTTTAATTGTATGTTTATGCTCTTGAAACCGGTCGGGATTTTTTTTCTAAGACTCTGAATGAATTTAAATAACTCTACAATGTTCCGCTTTATTAATTATAATAGTTAGTTTATTTCGGTGCTTTTCTGATTTTGTTTTCTATTGGATGCTTCTCGTTCGTTTTACGAAGATTCAGGGCTTGGCGTGGTAGCATAAATGCCCTCTTTTACCGTTAATAATGTGGTAAAACATGGTTTTATACAAAACATATTTTTGAGCTGCAGTTAAGACGCCCTGTGAAATGTGCTGCGTTAGACGGCTTAGATTGGGGCTGTCTGAATTTCTGAAAGCCAACCCTTGTTTCGGAACTAATTCTAAGATGAAGGAAAACATCGTGTAATAAAATTAAAGGTGCAAGCTGTGAGTCTGCTTGAATCCTAATAAAGATAGGAAATAGGTTGAGGAGTGATTTTTGAAAGATTTTGTGGCCGGTAGGCATCATACAACACAAGATATATGACAGATACCTGAATCTTGCTTACGAAATTTTCAAGATAAGCCTTGCATATATACAAGTTCCAAACAACAACATTCGGACCATCCTCCCGATCCTGCGGACCGAATGGACAGCAGTCGACGTCGCCTAAAACACATCATATCGGATCCTCCCGATCCACTGACGGTGCTTTTAGGTACCTTAAGCACCGGTCATCGTTCTCGTCGACCCCGTTGCTTGCGACGAAGGGCTCGGCGAGTAAATTAACCCACAGACACAGGTTCTCGCAGGATCTTCTCAGTGGGTCACGTTTCTGATCCGGTGGTAGATTCTGCGAAGCACGGCTCTTGCTAGGGTTCGTGTTAGCAACGTCGTCAGGCTTGAGCCCCGTGAACTCACCTATTAGCTCGGTGAATCTAGAATAACCCCTCCAAGTTACCAGAATAGGTACCTAGTAAAAAAAATCGGACCATCGGTCTACCGAACAATATCACGAGCTCGGTGGAAGATCTTTCTTTCGTCGTAAACCCAACTGTCATCAACAGTCGTCCCACAGCAAGCCAGCATCGTAGCCTCAACAGGTCCATCGCAGCCGACTGACCGCGCTTCGGAGTCCTACTGCACGCACCTTCGCTGCCTCATCACGCCGCTACAGCTTATCGCAGCCCACGACTGGATCATCAACGCTTGGGTGCACACATCTCCGGCGTGGTAGTTCTGCATACATGGACTACTCAGGGTACTGACGCAGCATTCAAGCTCAGTCTCTATTCACCGCAGACTTCGAGTAGCACTGGTACTTGCAAACTAATCTTAGCACGGAATAAAGGGTTAAAAAAGAATTTTGCCACAAATCAAAAGAACGTAGAAACACAAAAAGTCAACAAGGCTGAGTATTCAGAAAAGCTTCAAAAAAGAGAACCCTTTTGATTTGAAAAATCGATAAAGGAATGCAATACGGTATCAAATTTACCTGCATAAAAAAATATTTTACGTACGATATAAAAAGTTTTATCGCTGTTACACTTTATTTCTTAATGGGGTGTTGTCATGATCGAAATTATGTTAATAATCCGACAAGACCGTCTTGGATTCATCTGACACGAAAGAATCAAATTCTGGAGAAAGTCATGTCTTAATTTAATCAGCCGAACTGGCTGTATTGATTGAGCCTTCGCTGTTTCCGAATGCTACCTAATACGTTGTATCATCGTTTCCTTTACTTTTGATACTTGATACTTTTTGGCGGGAACGCGAGGAGTGAAGTTGTGTGATTTGTTTTATTTTGTCTATTTAGTGTTTCTTCAGGTTTAAATGTGTATTAACGTTGGTTTATTAACTGTTTAATATCTGTGAAAGTGCACAAATGTAGGAAAATGAAACAAAGCCGCTGGACGTAACTTCTCGGGATTCTTCAAAAAGTCCACTGAAAACATCTCAGTAAATGATCATCATTTTACTGAGATTATATTTCATCCCATATCATTTAATTTCATCCCAGTTGATTAATGTCTCAAATTAATCATTTTCATTTCATTTCATTTTATCATTTTTCATAAAAATAATAATATAAATTAATATAAGACATGACTTAAATGTCTTAGTAACCAGGTCACAAAATCCCTTAAAAAATTTGATACTTGACAGTTTCACGAAAAATCGAAATATCAAATGTCAAATGGCTGTCAAAAATGTCAATGTTTTGTTTATTTTTATGCTTGACATAGTGTGTACGTTTTACTAAAAAAACATTAAAAGAAATAGTGGTATAGTTGTAAAACATTCAATGAGATATGGCGGCTGCATTTCAGCAGCAGATCTTCGCTTTAGATGCCCGATTTAATGCTTACAGAGCACCAAACAATCCTAACTTTAGTACGTTAAAATTAACATCTACACACGACTTTTGCACTATTTACCTACATAAAGTTGTTTAGTTTTGCGTTCGTTTGTTTTCTCTATTTTGGAAAAAGAAAGATAATTCTGATAGATTTCATTACAAAGGATTAAAGTTCTTTTTTTTCTGTTTTCTTTTCTAAATAAAAGGTAATAGCTTTAATTATCATCCTTGATATTAGCTATCACATTATATACAAGCAACAGGGAAAATGAAAACTCAAAATGAAAATATGTAAATGTTTCATTGTGATATTTATTAACAGAAATCCTGTACATACGCAGACGAAGTCAACTTCTTAGAGAAAATGCCAAGTTTAAGGTAGATCCTGATTTGAAACCCTATACCAGAAAATCAAAAACTGCTCAATAATATTTAAAAAGAGCCATATATTTATACAAGATTATCATTATGAAAAGAGAAATCTCAAACAACCTGTTTACTGGTGGTCGTGTGAGCCCACAAGTATCATTACCTTGCCTATTTCTGCTCTGAAGCAGTAATGCATTTTGGTTTGAAGGGTGGGGCAGCCATTGTATTGTAAAACTGACCTTAGTACTCGTCTCTAGGTGGGTGGCGGCATTTACATTGTAAATGTGTATGGGCTCTGGAAATCACTTAAACAAGGGGCCATGAGCTCTACTATCCATTAAGCAATAAAAAAAGGTCTAGAGTATTTAATAATCATATAATTCAATAACAAAAGCTCTCAAAATTTAAATAATTACCAACCATTCTTTAGTACCATGATAAACTAACTAAGATACATGATCTAGGATATTGACACAATTAAGAAATACTTGAACGTGCGGAGTCAGTTACTGCAGCGTCGTTATGGAGTCCAAGACAACATCTCAATCAGCTCTTCATCTTCTAGACAAAGATCCAGCAGTAAAGTAAGTTCCATGTCGGCTAAGCAATATTTTTCCAGCTTTTTTTATTTCATAAGCAAATTTTTTTTAAAGACAATACTTACAACAAATACAGAAATAATTTGAGAATGTGTGAAAATGTCATGACCTTAAAATGTCTTAAATTATGGTTAATCTGAACACCAAAAACCGATGTCATTTTAATTCACATTGTTATGTTTTATTTAGTGAATTACGGTTGTGTAACATGTCAGTTCACTGTGTATTGTTTATATATAAACCACACTTAGTAGTCCTTTTTATGGAAAGGAGGACAAACATCCTCATTAATACACTACACACATCAAATTAATTGTGATGACTAGACATGCTGTAGTTAATTCCCTACTTTTGATGTCAATTACTTATTTATTCAACAGGTCAACATATCTGTTGAAGAGTCTCCTACAAAAAGGAAGAACGACATGACAATATCAGAGAACTATGCCTTTACAGGAGTACATCACATATTTGACCAGGTTTTTATCGTTTTTAAATTGCAAGTAGATTGGTCCAACCAAGGTTACCGAGTCATTTTTATATATTTAAAAATTTAGTTAAACTGAACAGCAACAATATTAAATAGTTATAGAGAAATAACTAAACCGGTAAGTAAGGCTTAGTAAGTCTGCTGATGAGGGTGAATTGAAAAAAGAAAGCATAGAATTCATGATGCTACTGTATTTCATTATGCTAAATGTAAATTTGGCACATCTACAAAATTAGGATGACATTCTTGCTTAATAATCTTTATTGCCATTTAAAAAAATTACATTAATTCCCAATTTGATGAAGAAATGTTTCTATGACTGTAAAAGGTAAATCCCCGATTGAACTTGTTCCATTACTAAATAGACAGATATACCGAACTGTGACACGTTTAATTGCATGAAAACATTTTAGTTATGAATAATGCTGTTTTTTATTTTAAATTATAGTTATGAAGACCAGTTCAAGAAGTCCCAAGTTTAGTTTTCCTAATCCTGCTCTGTGCACTCTCTTGGCTACTGTTGTTTATCATGACTTTTCTTATCACGCTATTTCGGTGGATAAGCCAAGAACTCACCTGGCGTTAGGTTCATTCATTATTAGAGATTAAATACTCAAATGTGCTGTATAATAGCTTCTTACCCTTGCATCAGAACGCATGCATTATGACAGATATAGGGAGATTGGTGGCATCTACATGTATCGGCTCACATTATGACTTATTGTAAACTACCTTCCTCAGACAGTCGCCTAACACATCCCGCCTCGATTTCAACGTACAAAATCGACGTCCCAATAAAGAGTGTTAATTGCACAAGCCGCTTGATAACTTTCAGCACACAGAGCAAGTGAGTGTCGTGAAGTTCGCGAACAACGACCGCTCGAAGCTGTGTTGCGCCTCAGACGACGGGACCGTATCCATATGTGACGTCACAGCGACGCCGCCGCGCGTCAGCGTCATCCTCGACGGACACACCAAAGCCGTCACTGGTAATGAAGGAACCATGGGATAACAAATGTTCACGATTGATTTCCTCGGTGAAGGAATAACATTGTGTAATAAAAATCAAACCCGCAAAATTATAATTTGCGTAATTACTGGTGGTAGGACCTCTCGTGAGTCCGCACGGGTAGGTACCACCACCCTGCCTATTTCTGACGTAAAGCAGTAATGCGTTTCGGTTTGAAGGGTGGGGCAGCCGTTGTAACTATACTGAGACCTTAGAACTTATATCTCAAGGTCTTCTTCTTCGTCGCTTCCTCAACTGAGGGTCATGACCACCTTGTTATAGTTTTTTCTTCTCATGGTGGGTGGCGCATTTACGTTGTGGATTTCTATTGCCTCCAGTAACCACTTAACACCAGGTGGGCTGTGAGCTCGTTCACCCATTGAAGCAATAAAAAAATAAAAAAATAATTGAGGCAGTCAGCGCAAAAGTGGCCTAACCTTGTCATAGTTAGTGTGGAGATAATGAGTTTAGAATTTACTTTTACACTGCTTCGTAGGCAAAAACAATACGCAAAAAACTTATATTTACAAAAGCCATCTGTTCTCTATGGGTGAGACTAGAGATAGGCCAGTTTTGCATCAAAATTTATTAAGTTTTAAATAAATTGCAATATATGTATATGCACGAATCCGAAAAATTGTGGATTAGGCCACTTTTGCACTGACGGTCTCAATTGTTAAGCGTGTTATAGACATGTGATCTGATAGAGAGAAGATGCATGTGACTAGGAGATGTATGGAAATGGTAGTGCAAGGTAGAGGGGAAGAGGTCGACCGAAGAAGACATGGATGGAGTGTGTGAATGACGATATGAGAGAGAGAGGTGTGAGTATTGAGATGACGGCTGATAGAAGAGAATGGAAGAGAAAAATGAGCTGTGTCGACCCCCCATCTAGTAGGATAAGGTGGAGAGAAAGAAGATGGGATACTGGTATCGAGCGATGCGGTAGTGCCGGTTTAAAAAAATCCCACAGGCATATACCAATTTTCGACTTAACACATTTTGACGAATGACTTCCAAGGTCAAGGAATAAATGTCGTGTAATCAAAATGAAATTCGCAAAAATTGTAATATGCTTAATTACTAAACAACATAGACTTCAAGTTTCGAGAAGGGCGGCGGCAAGCTGGTCGTGGTGTGAGCTGGTTCGCAATAAATAAGTATGAAGGTGTGGTTAAACGGGGGCACCTGGCGTTGGTTCCCAGAGCTCATGTACACTTTGAAACATTAATTGAATCGTTTTAAACAGCACGACTCTCTTGATTTTATCTTTTAATGAGTTTTCTAAATTTCATTGGAAAAATTGTTGCAAGCACCACAGTCGCGGATAGACTGAAACTCGCGGGTGGGATGTTGAGAGACAATTCTTAGCCGATCGCGATTCCGATCTGGTAGTAGATTCATTCGCGAAGCATCTGCTCTTGAGTTGTTAGGTTTCCTTTGGAGGCGCTCGGGTAGCTGTTAGCAAACCCCACCCCTCTTGGCTGAGCCCTTGCTCGCCCACCTGTCCTGTTGAAACCGGAAAGGTCTCCGGGCCACCAGTAATCCTTCAATAATAAAAACGCTTTTAACTTACTTGCAAAACCGTAGTAAAATGGTTGAAGTTTTTTTGTTTTTTTTGTTGCTTTGATGGGTGGACGAGCTCGCAGCCCACCTGGTGTTAAGTGGTTACTGGAGCGCATAGACATTCACAACGTAAATGCGCCACCCACCTTGAGATATAAGTTCTAAGGTCTCAAGTGCCTGTGCTATTCGGAATAATATGTCGTAAACTGTGAAGAGACATAAGGGTTGTGGCGGCGTGTGGACAGGGTGCGACTGGTCGGCGTCTAATGAGCTGCTGGTGACGTGCGGGCTGGACGGCGCGCTGTGTCTGTGGGACGCGGGGCGGCGCCGCAAGCTGCGCGAGGTGCTCGACCAGCTGGCCGCGCCTCTGCTCTGCTGCGTGTTCCAGCCCGCCAACAACAACATGGTCATTGTATCCTTGTAACGTCCTAGATGCCGCGCCGGTCGTGTGCAAGGTGGCCCCATTCGCTATCCTGCGGACAGAATGGAAAGCAGTCGACGTCGCCCCAAACACGTCATATCGGATCCTCGCGATCCACTAACGGTGCTTTTAGGTACCTCAAGCAACGATCATCGTTCTCGTCGAACCCGTCCCGAAACCCGAAAAAAAAAGCAAGGTGGCCCTGCTGCGGTATCCCCCCTGCGGCGACCCTTGATATAGTGATGTGATTATGCTGTCGTCGTCGTGACCTAAAGGATAAGACGTCCGGTGCATTCGTATGTAGCGATGCACCGGTGTTCGAATCCCGCTACCAAGTACCAATTTTTCTAATGAAATACATACTTAATAAATGTTCACGATTTACTTCCACGGTGAAGGAATAACATCGTGTAGTAAAAATCATACACGCCAAATTATAATTTGCGTAATTACTAGTGGTAGGACGTCTTGTCAGTCAGCGCGGGTAGGTACCACCACTCTGCCTATTTCTGCCGTGAAGCAGTAATGCGTTTCGGTTTGAAGAGTGAGGCAGCCGCTGTAACTATACTCAAACCTTAGAACTTATATCTCAAGGTGAGTGGCGCATTTACGTTGTAGATGTCTATGGGTTCTAGTAACCACTTAACACCAGGTGGGCTGTGAGCTCGTCCACCCATATAAGCAATAAAAAAAAAGTCGTGATAAGTACTAAACTCCTAAACATATTATGTTCTTAACACGTGCTTACATAACCTCAAAAAGTATTTTGTGTAATTTAAGTATGTATTATATCGGGTGTGTGAAATCTACGCTGACCGAATACGTTTCCTTGACTATCCACGTTCAGGCGGGCAACGCTAAGGGTATGGTCGAAGTATTGAACATTTCTACTGGAATATATCCAAGGGGTGAGTTTTTAGAACATGTCATTAAAATATTATTACACTCTAGGAAGCGGGATAAATAATATCTTTCATTAAAGTATAACTTCAAACTCTATTTAGTTATGACAAAACTTATACTTCATAATTCGCAGTTGACTTCTTCCACTTTGCTTAGAATGTTGTCAGCCCACTGAGTTTCTCGCCGGATCTTCTCAGTGGGTCGCGCTTCCGATCCGGATTTAGATTCTGCGAAGCACTGCTCTTGCTAGGGCGGTGTTAGCAATTCTCCGGTTTGAGCCCCGCGAGCTCACCTACACAAGCTAGGGTACGCTGAAATAGCCTCTCAAGGCTATCAGCATAGGTAGGGAAAAAAAAAAAAAAAAAGCTTAGAATGTTCCCAACGCTGTTTCACTTCGAGTAGAACTGATTCCTAAATGCTTTCTTAATAGTTTGGTCTTACAGGGTTCCGGAGTAATTATTTCAGACGATAGCCCCTTTTGGAGGTATCGATGCCGTCTGCCGCTGTAGTCGGTTCACTAGGTTACATCATGTAGGTTACTAGCATAGTTATTGGCCCTGCTTTNCAGACGATAGCCCCTTTTGGAGGTATCGATGCCGTCTGCCGCTGTAGTCGGTTCACTAGGTTACATCATGTAGGTTACTAGCATAGTTATTGGCCCTGCTTTGGTCTCATCTCTGCGTCGCTTTTACAGTCAAAACGACATGCCTACAATTTTCGAGAACTTTTCCGATAGTACAAGCCGTTTCGATATACGTTTTCGATATTTGAAAATAGATGGCGTTACACGCCTTCTTTTTTATCTATTATAGTAGCCTCGAGGGATTTAAATTCTCAGAGTTGGTAGGTAAGCTCAGCTTTAACCTGAGGGCATTGCTAACACTAACCCTAGCAAGAGCAGTGCTTCGCAGAATCTATCACCGGATCGGAAACGCGACCCACTGAGAAGATCCGGCGAGAAACTCAGTGGGCTGTGTCTGTGGGTTAGTTTACACACCAAAGCCTGAACGGTGACCGGTGCTTGAGGTACCTAAAAGCACCATTAGTGGATCGGGATTATCCGAAATGACGTGCTTAGGGCGACGTCGACTGTTTACCATTCGATCCGCAGGATCGGGTATGTAGTTTCCAGCGGCCACGAAGAGACGGTTTTCATGTCGTACCGCCTTCTCAAAGTGGCACATTGTGCTGACTGAAGATACTTACTGATGGAGTCAAGCTCCAGATCATCATCGAGATCCACGTTCCTCATGAACCATGGTGCTCCGACGGCTATCCTGCAAAAACGGGATTGAATTATTTGAAGGGGTTCCAAATTAGTGCGGGCCGCGTGAGCGAACACTACACTTGCATAGGTCATGACGGGGCGTATGCAAGTTTTGTAGTGTCACCTTACTACCAAGGGACAACTTACTTCGCTTGCAAATCATCGCCGCGAACGTTTTCGATAAGACTAGTTTTGATATCCATTTCTGCTATTTGGTGACAGATGGTGCTACTTTTACGAGCATAACAATATATTATATGAATATTACCAAAAATAATTTTGTCCCAAGTTAAAGCTAATAATTTTGTATAAAAAGGCTCATCAGTCAAGTTGTGATCATGCACTGTTTTGATTTATACTCAATATTAGAATGTATGTAACAATCTTAACTCTTGAAAAAATACAAAATCATTTAGTAATGAAATGAAACTAGAACATAGAAAACTATGGAGCTTCTTCCTGGCGAACTTTTATCAGCACCCAATAATTTTGTATAATTTGTTTTCTTGTTGTTTTTGTCTATTCTAGGTGGAAGTAGTATCGTAGGGGGTAGAGTGACCGCCATAGCTTGTGAATCCAGTGGCAGGATGTTCTGGGCGGCGAATGATAAGGTAATTTGAACAACTCGTAATGTCAGACGTATTTTTTATTTCATTTTAGAAGTTTTACTGAAGCGTACAATTAAATATCAAGTTGAGGTTTGTTATTTATAATACTTTTTTTTTTTATTGTTTAGATGGGTGGACGAGTTCACAGCCCACCTGGTGTTAAGTGGTTACTGGAGCCCATAGACATCTACAACATAAATGCGCCACCCACATTGAGACATGAGTTCTAAGGTCTCAACTCTCAAGTATAGTTACAACAGCTGCCCCACCCTTCAAACCGAAACGCATTGCTGCTTCACGGCAGAAATAGGCAGGGCGGTGGTACCTACCCGCGCGGGCTCACAAGAGGTCCTACCACCAGTAATTACGCAAATTCTAATTTTGCGGGTTTCGTTTTTATTACACGATGTTATTCCTTCACCGTGGAAGTCAATCGTGAACATTTGTTGATTACGTATTTCATTAGATAAATTAGTATCCGCCTGCGGGATTCGAACACCGGTGCATCGCTCAACACGAATGCACGGGACGTCTTATCCTTTAGGCCACGACGACTTTAGTGTTGTGTATCTATCGAGGCTTCGGGTTCACGTAGACACGCTACGTCGGTTTTTTTTTATTGCCTTTGTAGGCAGACGAGTATACGGCCCACCTGATGGTAAGTGGTCACGGTCGCACGGTCATAGCGTCAGCAATGCCAGGGGCAGAGCCAAGCCGCTGCTTACCATGTGTGTCGGTCAGGGCGTGATCGTGAGCTACCGGCTGGAGGGCGCGGGCGGGTCCGTGAGCAAGTTGCGTCGCTGCAGCGTGGGGGGCGCCGTGTCGTGCCTCAGCTGGAGTCCCTGGCTCGCGCGCCACCCCGCGCTGCTCGTCAGTGCGGCCGACGACTCTCTCTGCTTGTTCAGGTACTCCCGCCCCTTCGAGTTTGGGGTTCACAAGGAAAAATGAATTTTGGAACGTCTAGGTCTGTGGGGGGACTCCACTTCTCTCTGTATTTTGTACTGTACTAGCGACCCACCCTCGCTTCGCTTCGGAAATTGTAATTTAATTTTATTATTGACTAGCTGATCCGGCAGACTTCGTAGTGCCTCAATCGATAAATAAAATACCTAAACTTTTATATAAAATAAACTTAAAACAAACAAAAGGAATCCGTCCGACGGAGGACACATCAAAGGAAAAACAAAATTGTTATTTTTATTTAATTCCGAGCATTTTCATACTTATCTTTTAAACCTTCTCTGGACATCCACAAATAACTCAAGACCAAAATTTGCCAAATAGGTCCAGCCGTTCTCGAGTTTTGGCGAGACTAACGAACAGCAATTCATTTATATATATATACATTTTTCCACTATTTAATGGATGTTATTATACATTTAAATATTCCTCTTCAATCACTCTATCTATTAAAAAAAAAACAGCATCAAAATCCGTTGCGTAGTTTTAAAGATTTAAACATACTACATAGGGATATAGGGACAGAGAAAGCGACTTTGTTTTATACTATGTATTGATGTTTCATGAAGAGTGCTCTGAGGAATTGTTTGTGGTGATCCCATCATCTCTATTTGACCATCGCCCCGTCCGCCACCGGAGTTTATCCATACTACCTGGAGCCACTGCGTTCATCCGCAGTGCGTTTCCAGAGGTATTTTTTTCCACGTACCATCGGGCTTTGGAATGAGCTCCCTTCCACGGTGTTTCCCGAGCGCTATGACTTGACCTTTTTCAAATGATGCTTGTGGAGAGTACATGCACTGGTGGTAGGACCTCTTGTGAGTTCGCGCGGGTAGATACCACCGCCCTGTCTATTTCTACCGTGAATCAGTAATTTTTTTGTTGCTTATATGGGTAGACGAGCTCACAGCCCACCTGGTGTTAAATAATTACTGGAGCCCATAGACATCTATAACGTAAATGCGCCACCCACCTTGAAATATAAGTTCTAAGGTCCCAGTACAGTTACAACGGCTGAACCACCCTTCAAACCGAAACGCATTACTGCTTCACGGCAGAAATAGGCAGGGCGGTGATACCTACCCGCGCGGACTCACAAGAGGTCCTACCACCAGTGAGTACATACAAATAGAATCGCGGACCGCGAGGGCGCGCTGGTGCTGAAGAAACGTTTCGAGGTGCCTCACCGCGGGCGCGGCGTGCGCTCCACGTTCTGCCCCATCATGTCGTTCCGGCGCGGCGTGTGCGTGGTCTCCGGCAGCGAGGACTGCTGCGTCTACTTCCTCGACATCGAGGGACGCGCCGAGCAGCCGGTCGTCAATAAGCTCCAAGGTAATAAATATAGCGAGAAGCGATAGCCTGTTAATTCGTGCTAAAGCGACATTTTTGCAATCTTACATGAGAGCCAAAGTTTAAAATTTGGAATATATATCACAACAAAAAAACTCTTTCAGCTATTTGATTGGAGTAAACTTAATTGAAATTCAATTAAAAGCATCGAATTGTTGATACTAATATCAAATAAAACGCATCTTTAATTTAGTTAGTTAGTTTAAATAGTCTTTCATTCCTCGATATCATTTTCGAATTGAATATTTTATTGTCGGCTGTAACCATAAATATCACATAGTAAAGTAAAGAAAAAAACCAACATAGATAGAACTAATAGATATCAAAATTTATTAGTCTATTTAATGCTTTGTTTGTCTTAGTAAATTTGGTAAAATCACTCTCTTTTTGTGCTGCCCCAAAACATATATATAAACATAGTGGTAATTGGAACCCCCAGACATAAAAACCGAATTTCGACAAATAATTAATATATCTTCCAAATTTTCAAATCGGATGGCGCGACTTCCTTTACCGATGGTATTAATAGCGGAAACGAAAAGTTTAATTGTTAACAAGAACTACACAGTTTCGCTTTAAGGTACGCGTCTTTAGGTAGGTAGACTTTTATTTTGCTATGTATTATTTCACATAGTGCATTTCATCATTTCATTCATTATCCTGCCCTTCTCCCAGTCACCTGGGGTCGGCGCAACATGCTTTCTCCTTCCATACTCTTCTATCATAAACCATTTCTTCGCTCACTCCCCTCTTACCCATATCGTCTTTCATACAATCTATCCATTTCTTCTTAGGTCTACCTCTTCCTCTATATCCTTCCACATTCATAGTTAACATTCTCTTACCAACCTCATTTTCATTTCGTCTCATCACATGTCCATACCATCCCAAACGCATTTATTTCACATAGTGCATTTATGAGCAAAAAATACAAAGCGAAATAAAATCCGTTGCGTGCGGTGCGGGCCAATGGACGCGTACCTTTAATGAACGTTTTACACAAACGCGCACGCTGAGAATGTAGACAGATGAAAGCATTGATATTGGATCCGGTCATCGTTCTCGTCGAACCCGTCTCTTGCGACGAAGGGCTCGACGAGTAAATTAACCCTCAGACACAGCCCACTGGGTTTCTCGCCGGTTCTTCTCAGTGGGTCGCGTTTCCGATCCGGTGGTAGATTCTGCGAAGCACGGCTCTTGCTAGGGCTCGTGTTAGCAACGGCGTCAGGTTTGAGCCCCGTGAGCTCACCTACTAGTTAAGGCGACGCTGATACAGCCTCTCAAGGCTATCAGCTTAGGTAAGAAATAAATAAGGTATTGGATGACCAGGACACGCGGCCCCCGTGCTCGGGGTCAGCTTCAGCTACGACGAGAGCCTCCTGGCGACCAGTGACGTCACAGGTCTCGTCATTATCTGGCGACGGGGCACCGTGTGAAGCGATCTTAACCTAACCTAAATAAGGATTATTAAAATTAATATTTTATATTAAAAATAGTTTAAAAAAAAAAACAAAAATATACGCATTTATATAAAAATCCGACTAAATAATAAATTTATTGAAAAAAAAGCGTGGGGCGCACGGTGTCAATAAGTTATAAATATTTTATTGACAGATAATAGTAGAAGGATTATCGTTTTGATAATATCTTAAAAAGCACCCGAAGTTTTTTGTTTTTTTTTGTAAACTATTATTTATTTTTAATTTTTTAGTTTAAGTAGCATTATGTATTATCATAAATTATTCATTAATGTACATTCACGCAAATACAACAGTTTTCAATTTGCTAAGTGAAAAAAAAAGGCCCTCAAATGAATTTGTTGTTTTGACTGCCGAAAGTAAATAACAGGTCTAACTAACTGATTTGAAATATTGAATTGTCATCGATCCCTATGATTTATGCCAAATTTCGAGATAATCCGACATTTTGAAGGGGTTCATAATCATGGTCAAATATTACGTTACATACTAAAATACGCCTGAAGCTATTAAAAGCGTATGAACTCACAACGAATATAATAATATATAAACATGAAACGGTAATTTATCCTTACGTAAATTACCCTTTCTTGGTTGTGAGTTCATACGTTACTGGAACCGACAGGCATCACAACATGCACCCGCTACCCGCCTTGAGACACGAGGTCGTAGTCTCAATTGTACTACAGGACAGCTGTCCGATTTTTGGCCTGCACCGAACTTTGAATTTTTTTGTTAAATATTATACTCTGTGATAAAATAAACCTTATGACTTAATATATGATTGTTTTTCTTAAAATAACACTAAGCATCGTGCATTATAAGTTCTACAATCAGGTTTCGATGTATTGGAAAAGCCAGTTACTACCCAGACTGGTTTTCAAAAAATTAAAACCCGACTCTGTGAATAATAAAATTAACTTTTGATATTTGTACAGTAGAAATTATTTAAATCAGCTAGTTTGGGTTTTTGAATGTTTAATTTTAGTGAGAAATTAATGGGAATAACTTGAACCGTGCGAGACGAGTGGATATGCAACTAATTAAACCGGTGACATAATATGCGTCTTGTACTATTGTCAGATGTACCTACCTATTTATATTATAATTATTTTATTACCAAACGTACATTTTTGAAGTGAAACTTCCTTATCGGCGTTGGAAAAAAATTTACCGTCACATTTTTCGGTTACGCGTCACTTTTTTCCGTTACGCGCCATCTGTTTTGTATTCATGTCTATGATAATAAAATCCTTTTGTTTAAACTTTATCTAATTTAACTTTTTTGTATTCATGTCTATGATAATAAAATCCTTTTGTTTAAACTTTNACTGATCGCGCGTTTCTCTCATTATTGTATTTTCATATATTTGTTAGTCGTTTGTTTTGTGTCTCGTTAATTTGTTAATAATCTGTAGTGTATCGTGTTGTCGTAATATAGAACTATTTCTCGTATTGTTTCGTTTAATTTTTTATATCCAGTAAACTCCAGTCGTGCGTCGGAGCGGACACACACACTTTTTTTTAGTTTAAGTAGCATTGTGTATTATCATAAATTATTCATTAATGTACATTCACGCAAATACAACAGTTTTCAATTTGCTAAGTGAAATAAAAGGCACTCAAATGAATTTGTTGTTTTGACTGCCGAAAGTAAATAAAAGGTCTAACTAACTGATTTGAAATATTGAGTTGTCATCGGTCCTTATGATTTATGCCAAATTTCGAGTTAATCCGACGTCTTGAAGGGGGTCATAATCATGTTCAAATATTACGTTACATACCAAAATACATATGAAGCTAATAAAAGCGTATTATTAAATATTAACGAATGAACTCGCAACGAATATATATAACCAAGAAACGGTAATTTATCCTTACGTAAATTACCCTTTCTTGGTTGTGAGTTCATACGTTACTGGAACCGACAGGCATCACAACATGCACCCGCTACCCGCCTTGAGACACGAGGTCGTAGTCTCAATTGTACTACAGGACAGCTGTCCGATTTTTGGCCTGCACCGAACTTTGAATTTTTTTGTTAAATATTATACTCTGTGATAAAATAAACCTTATGACTTAATATATGATTGTTTTTATTAAAATAACACTAAGCATCGTGCATTATAAGTTCTACAATCAGGTTTCGATGTATTGGGAAAGCCAGTTACTAACCAGACTGGTTTTCAAAAAATTAAAACCCGACTCTAAATCATAAAATTAACTTTTGATATTTGTACAGTAGAAATTATTTAAATCAGCTAGTTTGGGTTTTTGAATGTTTAATTTTAGTGAGAAATTAATGAGAATAACTTGAACCGTGCGAGACGAGTGGACATGCAACTAATTAAATCGGTGACATAATATGCGTCTTGTACTATTGTCAGATGTACCTATTTATCTTATAATTATTATATTACCAAACGTACATTTTTAAGTTATTATATATAAACCTATTCATATTTATTTTAAATTTTGAAATTAATTCAAGCCTAAAGGAGATAGGCAAACTCCTATTATGGGAACTCAAATCGTTTTGTCATGAAAAGCTATGAATGGAGAAAGAAAAATACTGGTGTCAATCATTCTCACTAAAATTGTAATAAAGGGAACGCTTTCAGTCGATATCAGAAAGGGTATTTGTGAAGTTTTACTTTAAACAACTGACATGCTGGACCCATCTACATTGTAAGTATTTGCTCAGTGGATTTCTCCTGTAAATCTCTAATCGATTTTTTTTTAATTATATTTTTAAGGCATAGTTTGGTGGATGAGCTCACAGCCCACATAATGTTAAGTGGTTACCGGAGCCCATAGACATCGACAACCCACCTTGAGATACGAGTTCTTAAGTCTTAATACCTATAGTTACATCGGTTGCGTCACCCTTCAAACCGAAACGTATTCACGGCAGAAATAGGCAGGACGGTGGTAATCTGTAAAGTTGTTTACGGAAGATAGTTTACGTGATAACGTCAGTCGCAGAACTATTCGAACTGATAGCTCTGACGTCACGCGAGACGAGAGATCATTGTGTCACGAGCCAACTCAGCCAACGCTTGGCCCGATCGTGCCTCTCTATCGTTTGTTCCGCTCTCTCGCTTGCACATCGCAAAACAAAAGTAAACTAAAATATTTGAAAAGTAAAAGACTTATTGAGTCACAAGTTTTTATTTTAATTATTTTTCATAGAAATACTTTAAAAGACTCGACAATGTCACATATACGAAAAGATTTATCAATTGTTTTTCACATTCACTAAATACTGCTTACCGTTTTCATACAAATCAATAACAACTTACAATAAATATCAATATTATTGGACAAATAATTCAATTTTAATTCCTTATAAACGTATCTCTTCTCATTACATACATAATATATTAAAGTTAATTTTAGTTACAGCCAATTTGGGTAAGATTTGGTAAACGAATCGATTTTTAAAATTTTTGTATTATTTATACGGAAGCTTGTTAAGCCTGAAAAATCAGTGTGACCTAAAAATTACCCAAATTGGTTGTATTAGGTTGAGACGATTCCGCATCTGAACCGGCAACCCAGGAGGAGAATGGCTCGTAACATATATCCCGTAACAAAATGAACATCTACCGATCCTATATACATCTGTACATCAACGAAAACATACTTAAAACTGATTAAATAATAATTCAGAACATTAAACATGTCGTTTTCAATTAATAATTTTATTATACGATACAAATTCAAAATTTTATGTTCCTATTCTCGTTTATTAAATTAATATTTACATGACGTAACTAAACAACTAAAAACTCGCTGATATGGAAATGATGAGAATTGCACATTAGTTTTAACATGGACGAATTGAATTATACATATATTTATTTATTTACGATGACGTTGTGTTCGTGGCACTTAATAACAATCAGCAACAATAATACTAAAATAAAAAAATTAATAAAAATAATTAACATTCTCATTTGTTCAAAAGTGTACACTGTCTCGATGGATGAAGAATGAGTGTGTGTCGGAGCGCAGCGAATGTCCGCATTCGTTAACTCTAAAACTACACTTACGTTATTATTAAACTTACAACTTACAATTGGCTCTCAAACCTCACACGTTATAATTTAAACATATTTTTATTAACAATTTCGAGGCTCCTTAAAGTTGGAAGATGCATTTCAAGTTACGCGCACACACACACAAAACTTTGTTTCGTAAAACTCAAAGTTCTCGCGATATACGCTACAACTTAGTAGAATTTAACCATCAAGCTTATTCTGTAATCACTTAAATACTTTTTAAATATCTAACAATAAATCGGTACTAAATCAATAGATGCGTTTCTTACCTGTTAAGTTCTTATACGAATGTACCTAATGTTTTGCTCTTATATTGGGAACATGAGAACTATTATACTGAGAACTGTGTGTTTCGTGAGAGTTTTTCTTAACGCCTCGAACGCGTAAAAGTTAACTCAAATTAGTATGGAGTTGGAACAGCGCCCCTAGCGGCAAACGAAAGGAAGCTCTGCCAACTCCATACAAATTTAACTTTTATGTGATCGAAAAGTTAAAAAAAATCTCACATCACTCTCATTAAAAGCACACAACACTCGAAATAGTCCCTAAGGAGCGCGGGCCGCGATACCTATACACATTATATATTCAGTTTTAATCATTCACGAATCCCAGACCATTTCAATGAAATAAGATTATCTATTCGTAAATAAGGTAGGCCATTTTTAAATATTAATTATCAGCGTGTACATACTACGTACGTTTCTTGATTGCTTTATTAAAATGGAAAAATAGCTTTACTTGAATTACAATATTAAAAAATTTTAAAACTTTTAGTTTCATATCAAAATTGTATTTTTAAATTAATTAATCCATAATAAATTTATTCGGACACACGTACGTACATATGACATTTGCCTACTAAATAATTTTGTGTATTATATTCGCGATTCTTTGTGTCAAAATTTTTGAAGCATTTTCAGAATAGACCTTTATTTTTTTAAAACTGTTTTTGCGAAAAGCTTACGGGACACTCATATCCTTATAAATTATGGCAAATTTCGCAAGATTTTGTTGTACGATAATATTTTGCGATATGTATATTATATTTTTCCAGATTTAAATTAATCAATTCTATGAGTTACATTAAATGGCGCCCCTGGACTGCTCCCGCAGGTCGGGTTCATCCATCGACAAATCGCTTTCACATAAAATTTAACTCTCATTATATTCATAGACACTAACATTACAGTTTGTCCAGTTCGCTTGTGAGGCCGCTGCACTGAGAATTATGAAACATTCGGAGTTTTGTTCTGTCTCTCAAGCGTCGCCTTCGAGCTGCTCTCTATGCCGGAGTCCTCGTCGCCGCTGTCCAGCACGGTGCCCTCGCCCTTGACACCCTCTATGGACGCCTTGGGGCTCTCCTGCTTCACCTCCTCCTGCTCCACGTCGTCCGTGAGGATGAGCTTCTGTTCCGGTTCTGGCTCCAGAGTGCATTTCCCGAAAGTCGAGAAGGTGGGTTGAAGGGCGGGCGAGCGGCGCGGCTTGTCGAGTACGAAGTTGAACACTCGGAGTCCTCTCGGGGAGGCGGCGTGGGGGCTCGGCGGGAGGTCCAGCTTGAGCTTGTCGCGCGTGTGCCGCAGGCCGCCCAGCTCCGGCGGCGAGGCGGGGGAGGTGGGCTCGCTGTCGGTGAGGCGCCAGGCGGGCTCGGGCGAGGCGGGCTTCTTGTCGAAGTCGTCGTCTGGGGGCGCGGAGCCGGGGGTCACGTCCTCGACGCCGGAGTCGGGCGTGGTGAGGTCGAGGCTGGGCGCGCGCGTGTGCGGCAGCGCGGTGCGCCCGGTGGACTCGTCGGGCGGCTCCTCGGCCTCGTCGGGCGGCGAGGGCTCCGGCAGCGGCGACGCCTTCACGTGCATGCCGGGGAAGAACTGGCTCGTGGTCGACATTATCCCGAGACTCTCGAACGGTCGCGCCGACGACGAAATGAAAAAATCTTCGTCGTAATCTATAACAGTAATAGAGAAATGAGTGTGGCTTGTTTATTCGTATTGGTTAGTAAATGAAATTTTTGAAGTGAAACTTCTTTAGAATCGTTGTGATTTCAAACTCGATAAAACGAAAAAATAAGTCCATAGAGACACAAACACATAAATGTATAGGATTCAGCCGGCGAAAGAATGAGATAGAACACATTGGACATTCTCAGTGTAGTTTTTTTAATACAGCGCCATCTATGAGATTTTTTAATACTAACGTGTGTATGAAACCTCTTGTAGTGAATTTTAATTTAGGATTACACATGAAGTTAAAATATCTATTCACAGAAAGCGCTACCTCATACTATAAAAGATGATTTATAATTATTTACTAATGACAAAATTTTATATATCACTCTACCACTTCTACCACGTGTGAATTGAACACGTATTTTTTGTTTATATGTATGTCAGTTGTGTGCGTTCCTGACGCATTCACCCGGACGCTATGAAGGCGTGAAGAAATCCATATGTTTGCACGATCGAGTGGAGCGTGGTACAGGATAGATTTACCGGCGCCGAAGGAGAGTCCCGAGTGCAGGTCGAGCGGGCTCGGCGCGAACAGCTGCCCGTAGCCCAGCGCCGCCTCCTCCGCGCTGCGAGCGTCCCACTCTGCGGACGGACGCGCCCAACAATACCATATTAATAATAATATCATCTATTGCCTTTCAGACTAAATAAAATAACTTATTAATAAAGGAAAGGAAAAAAGATTTTTTATTGCTTAGATGGGTGGACGAGCTCACAGCCTACCTGGTGTTAAGTTACTGGAACCCATAGACATCCACAACGTAAATGCGCCACCCACGTTGAGATATAAGTTCTAAGGTCTCAAGTATAGTTACACGGCTGCCCCACCCTTCAAACCGAAACGCATTACTGCTTCACGGCAGAAATAAGCAGGGTGGTGGTACCTACCCGCGCGAACTCACAAGAGGTCCTACCACCAGTAAAGAGTGGCTCAGCTAATGCTGTTCAAAGTCGATAAATCGAACACCGCTGATTTTCAGTCACCACCATTTATTATTGCTTTTGCACATTTGACCTCATGACTATTTTTTACCAATTAATCTACAGATATAATACTGTTTTTTTTTGTTTTGTGTTGTTGTTTATTTTGAGTAATACTTGTAGTATGCTGTTACGTACCCGCTATGGTAGAAATAAGTACCAGTAAGTGTTGGTATGATTAGTGTTAAGATACATAAAAATGTGTAATTTAGTTGGTTCACGATCATTCTTTCCCATAGACACAGCCCACTGAGTTTCTCGCCAGATCTTCTCAGTGGGTCGCATTTCCGATCCGGTGGTAGATTCTGCGAAACACTGCTCTTGCTAGGGCCAGTGTTAGCATCACTCCGGGTTTGAGCCCCGTGAGATCACCTACTCGAGGTTATTAGGTTAAGTAGAAAAAAAAAAAGTCCTCTCCTTCTTGCAGTCACCTGGGGTAGGCGCAACATGTTTTCCATACTCCTCTATGATATACCATTCTCAGGTCTACCTCTTCCTCTACCTGTGGTTTAGTGGATCTGGAGCGCGTACTCTTTTTTTTATTGCCCTTGTATGCAGACGAGCATACGACCTACCTGATGAAGAATGGTTACCGTCGCCCATGGACTTCAGCAATGCCAGGAGCAGAGCCAAGCCACTGCCTACCGTTAAGTAATCTCCACAAGCCTCGTTTGAAGAAGGATATGTCAGGTACCTGCGTATGTGGAGTAGTCGGGCGCGTCCAGGTCGGCGACCTCGCGCGGGTACTCGTACACGCAGTGGTACTTCTGCCGCTTGAACACCACGCGCTTCTTGCCGTCCTGTACAGAGCCCGCGGTCAGCGACACACTCACCTCCAACACAATTTGTATTATGAAACAAATCATACTATTGTGTGTTCTTTTGAATGGCGTAGAGATTTAAACTCGCACCCTGGGCCAATACTACTTTTTAGCGTAATATTTTTCAGAAATCAATTATAATAAAAATAAAGAATAATACAGCAATTTTTTGTTTTGTGAAACATTTGACGAACTAATTTTTTACTCAATACTAATTCTTTAGTACAATTCACTGCGTTTAACGCTCATCTTCGCCGCGCCAAATGTACTGTTGATGAATACAAGCCACTGTATAGATTTCGGTGTGAAAATTTACCTTAAGATGTCAGGGTCAATTGATTTAAGAGCTGATTTACATGAAACTTCTCGAATACGTAGACGAGTATGCAGATAGGTGTCTAAGGAAACACATTCTTATCAAATTGCAAATAAATAGTAAAAGGGTCGCCTTCCATTATCTTCATGGTTTTCGCCCAATATCATTATTATTGTATAAACATTGGGGGAGCCGTGTGAAGTGGACGCGTGAATTTTAAATGATAAAGGATAACAACTTCGACTCACATAATCACACACACCTTGTAAATCGAATATTAGAAGCTTTTCTTAATCATAAAAATTTTTGCAGAACTACTTTGTCGCATCTTGCCTTTTACTTTTTATTGGAGTGACTTATAACTTTTTACTAGATTGAGTGCTACGTACTGGTTGAGCTTGTTCCAGGCTCCTCAGCGAGGACTTAGACGGTGCGGCGCGACAGTCCCAGGAGGAGGGAACGAACTCGACCTCGTCCCCCTCAGACCCCGAGTCCCCCGACCCCCCCGACTCTTCGGACCCCGCTCCGCCCTCCGACCCCTGCTCTGCACTCTCCGCTCCACCAGATGGCGCGTTGTCTCGTTGCTGCCAGTCAGAAATAATAATAAAGACTTTGTTTACAATCTAATTATTATACCAGTATTTTTCAATAAATTGTTTTCCAGCCATAGCCAAGTTAGATAATCAAAATATAAATTATTTTATTTATTTATTTAAAAACAGTAAGCTGTTTTTGTTTGCGCATTACAAGTAACGCTTCTAACTATAGTTGACAGTTGGCAAAGTTATCGGAACGATATTTGATAGTAATTGACGAACTAAAATCGACTCTAGTGTTGATTATAATAGAAGACGGCTTGAAAGAACGTAGATCTAACAGTGAACAAATGTAAGTCAATGTTACTATGAGTTCGCGCCGAATTTAGAATTAGTATAAGCAGCATGGATTAATGTTACAATAACACTTCAAAGTATGATGTCATAATATTTTAATGCCCATGATTTTGTGAATTTAAAATTGAATCTACCCTCCAGAATTATATCAACACAACTCAAACTCAAACTTACTAGGGCATGCATAATTACATTATGTTTTTCTATTTAGAGACCAATCTAAGTATTACCCAAATAATTCTAATGAAACTAATGATAATAAATATATTAATATCTTTCTATTAACAAACCCCTATTTGTTTATTTAAATCAAATTATTTATTTACATTTAGAAACCATAGTGCAAGAAAACAACTATTAAATCAACAATATAAAGCATTTTACAATCGTACAAGCTTACATTATGTATCTATTTTCAGTACAGTTACTTTCTGAATCGGTGGCTAAAAATAAATAAAAAATGTAAAAATAAACGTCAGTAACAAAAACACTATTTAAAATTAAAACGTTGTGTAATTTTCATCATTAATATAGTAGTTTTAAAAAACTTTGATGATAAAATTAATATTGCCGTTGTGTATAGTACAGATGGCGCTGCTGTCATTGTAGCGTGTGGGGACCAATGTGTGAATATGTTTAGAAATGTGCAAAGCCATGAATGAAACGTTCCGTTCACCTATCGTTTGCCAGTTTCTGGCCCCTGGTCAGCACTGGTGGCCATTATTGACTACACAGATGCAAAAGATAAAAGGCAACATTGATTTAAATTTAAATTTGATTTTAAAGGATCTTTGAGGCGCTTTGAGGTAACCACTAGTTTAGCGTCATTGGCACCTTATTTCAACTCCTTCCTACCGAGTGTTGGTCAAGCTGACCGGGGCCGGATACTGAGGAATTGTTTTGACCATCGCACCGCCGGCCACCGGAGTAAAGTTCATCCATACTACCTGGAGTCACTGCGGTCATTCACAGTGCGTTTCTAGAGATCATTTTTGCCACGTACCATCCGGCTTTGGAATGAGCTCCCCTCCACGGTGTATCCCGAGCGCTATGACTTGACCTCCTTCAAACGAGGCTTGTGGAGAGTACTTAACGGTAGACAGCGGCTTGGCTCTGACTCTGGCATCGCTGACGTTCATGAGCGACGGTAACCACTTACCATCAGATGGGCCGTATGCTCGTTTGTCTATACGGCAATAAAAAAAATACAAACTGAATTTACATCTATCCTACTCTTCTTGGCAAGTGTAAGCGAGATAGTGTATGTATAAGCGGTACAAACTCACGTGTCCGTAGCGGGCGTCCGGTGCGAGCGCGGCCCCGCCCCCGCCGCCGCCCTACGCGCACACAACACGTACATGCACACCGACACCGTGCCACACCACACAGACAAACGCAGGCAATTCGTTTTAGCATTTAACCGAATCCGAGAATATCAATGTTATCCTCAACCACGTTTGTCCGTAGAATTCTTTTCTTGTTATTTAAATAATAAAATCTTGACTATTTCTGTCGCATATCGGTTTGGAGAGTGGGGTAACCGAAATATTGGTATACATTTGGGACCGTCGACCTAAGGTCTTAAACCTGATGGTAGATAAGAGACCATACTTCAAAATACTATATTTTTCGAAACTTTAAACTCTTCAATGAAAACGTTGTATTGCAGGTCAAAAGTCAGCAAAGTGCTAAAATAAATTGCCATTGAGTATTGATTGGTCCAAATTTAACAATTATTTTTCTATTACAAAACATCTTCAAACATTTAAGAGTAATAAACTAATGTTAAATTAATTTCATAAATACAGTAAAATTTGTACCAAATCATTTAGATAGTTATTTACTTAAATCTTCGGAAATTCAGGATTTTTTTCCCACAAAATAAGCAAATTTTCCACATGTGTATCGGTAATTATTGTAAGCAAATTAAAATTTTGTCCTGAATTTACGGTAAATGACAGTAGAGCGTCGATTATTAACAGTATTTATATAAAACTTTATTGCTCGCAATAAATGGTAAAGAATATCTTTGATTTTACTGTTGTATATTGCAAAAAATTTGGTAATATATTTTTTATTTTTTATTTACTTACTAGTTATTAAGTACTTTCCAATTATCCTCATGATGCAGAGAATGTTTATTTGCATTGTCGTTTGTAACTATAGTCAGTGTGGTTATTTATAAATATGCATTCTATTTTGTGCACACTTTATAGGAAAACTAATTAAGTAAATAAACAAATTGCAAACTCGAAACCCTGTCCACTCACAGTTATAGTGCACTTAGTGAATGTTCTATTGGTATATCACAAGATGGCCACTATGCCTTTTAAATTCTCTCTGTAATAGAACCACTTTGACTCAATTAAATTTAAATTCTAATATATTATAACCAATGCTCCACTAGACTATGACTTCCAAAACCTTATATTATGGAGGGTAGACGTGGAGAATCAACTGTGTATATGAAAAGTTTCCGTCGAAATGTAATTAATTATTCTCCTTACCTCTACCCTCCATACCTTATATACAAAAGAGGCAAAGGATGGTTTCGATCAGGGTTGCACTCGCAACTAATATTATTACCTATAAATATTATTTGACAGATCACTTTTGTACAACTAAAACAATTAATTGACTTCTTTGAGGTGTTTATTCAAAAAGGTCCTAAAGTTTAGTCAAAAATGCCCTTTTTTTATTGTAAAATTAATAGTCAGTTCAATAAAGTACAGCTCACTTGTGAAACACATTTTCAAGATGGTTTAATTTTCAGTACGAAAAGATTCAGTACGATTAGTGACTGTCAAATTATATTGCCTTCTAAAATAGTCCACTAAAATCATATATATGTATGTATTTACATATGTGGTATTTAAAATACAGGGAAGCAAAATGGGCCGCTAAATGTGTCTAATATTCACACACAAGAGTATTCATATTATGGTCGGCAACAAATCACCATCGACAGAAGTAAACCACACAATTGACGTCACGTGTTACCAATCGTTTTCCCAAAACACTAAAGCATTCAATATACAGGCGACATTATAAAAGCCCCAATATAAATCACACCGAGATCGGGAGTAAAAATGATTACCTTCCAAATGAATTCCCCGCTGGACGAGTTACTCGTTTCTGATTCAGTATCGCTGTCCCACTCTTTCACAATGTCGGCGGCCGCGTCAGGTTTGTTGTCCTCCTCGCACTCGGGGGAGGTGGGCTCGGTGGGCGAGTCTTGCGTGAAGGACGTGCTCATTATTTCGGACGCAGGACCTGTTCATAAAATTCGTGTTCATAAAGTTCATAAAATTCTACTCCAGATAATTCGCCAATTCCCCCTTCTCTGTTAGAATTCTCTCTGTTTATGTTTCGAGACCTATATGATAATCTCAAAGGTCATGTAAGTTAAGTGCAAAATTCCCAACCGTCGAATTTCTTTAATTTTGTTTTTATTGTCGTATAGGCAGACGAGCATACGGCCCACCTGATGGTGAGTGGTTACCGTCGCTCATGGACGTCAACAATGCCAGGGGCAGAGCCAAGCCACTGCCTACAAGAAGATTTTAAAATTACACCATTTCTAACTAACTGTATAATACTGATTTGACCTTTTTTTTTTCATAAAAAAAAATATTAACATTTCTCACTCACCTGTGAATCTAATGTCGCTCAATATAGGGAAATAAGAGTCGAGCTGACAAAATTTCTTTTCTTGCTGTAAAAAATTCTCGGTGTCAGTCGTTGCTTTGACGTTTTGCAATTCGAGAGCTCCATTAGCTCTGGCGCTGCCTTCATTCTGCGAAGGTTCTGACGATCCGACGGATCTCAACTCACTCGAAGACTCCTCTATTAACTTCGTGTCTCCGCTTACTCCGTCATTTTTACTTGTCTCTTCGTCTGTTCTCGCGTCTCTGTCGTTGTCGTCCACGTTACTCTCGATCAGTTCCTCGAAGGTTTCGTTTAAAAAATGCACAGTAGCGTAGTTTTCGTTTTTTCCGTTTACACCGTCAACGCTGATGGAGCCGTTTGGTGTACTCTTTATATTCGATATCGCATCAGACGTTTCGATTTGACTCGGGCTGCCTTTTTGCATTGTTTCGTAATCAATAATACTGTGGGGACCTTCAGGCTGTGAGTGCCCGTTCGACTCCGAGTGAGCCTCCTCAATGCTATTCCTAAGTTCAGGTCGATTTGTGTGAGAATCATAAGTGTGGTTCAGATCTATGAGTTTCTCTGTGTGCGAATCAAAGGTAACGTTCGAATTTTCTTTGAACAGATCTAAAGGGGCCTCCGTTACTATTATCGAATGAGGCTGTTCCGTTTCGTCTTCCAAATCAAAATTTATCAAGTAGGTACTGGTCGGTTCTCTTACGTCGACTAATATGTGAGATTCTGTTAAATTCGTTAGTTTAAGAGGACCAGTCGTGGGGGCCGTGGGCTCGTCTGTTGGTTGGGGCGAGTGGGGGGCGACCACCAGCTCGCTCGCCAGCAGCCTCTCGCTCCTCAAGAGCAGCGAGCTGGCGTCTATCAGCGACGACAGATCCTGTGGACGGTGCTTTACAGAGTTTTCGAATTGACGAAATTCCTCAGAACTAACTCCGCTCTCCATGCTTTGACTAGATTTATCTCGAGAATTCACTTCTTGAGGTTTTGTTGTCGCCGAATTCTCGAAGTCGGAATACGTCGGCGTTCGCTCGGACACAACCAAGCTGTCCCGGTTGCTGTACCTGCTCAGGGTTTTGCTGTCGCCTTCAAGGAGTATCTCCGTGTCCTGGTTGCCTCGATCGGTGTTGGAAGACAAATCCTGCGGTCTGATCTCGGCGGATTGTTGAAAATTTTGAAAAGTCGGTACAGACATAACGTACTCGGAGTTGACCGTTTTATCATCCGGAAATATCATCGGTATGGCTTGCACATCATCCTCGTCGCCCACGATTTCTGTGAGCGGAGTGCTGGTGATAGAGGGCGCCATGTTGTTCCTGTAATTGACATTAGGGCTGTCACCTATGTCTATCAGCAGGGCTTCGTTCTCAGGGCTGCTTGATTTGTTTTTACTCTCAGAGAAATTGTCTTCGAGGCAACTTATTTCAACACTTTCCATTTTTTTAATGCACGGTTCTGAAATGATACGAGGACTGGTGTTTTCGATTTCCTTATCCTCCGATAACTTTGGCGGGGTGAGATCGGGGTCTTCCCCGAGAGGAGACCTCCTCACCAGCTCCGGTTGCTGAAACTTCCACGGATCGTCCATGGATGCCACTTCAGTGGTGCAGTTGGAGTAGGACGGCATGCCCGACATGAGGGTGCCGTACGCCAGGTCTTTGGTGGGGCTGTTCTTCGTGGAGTCGTTTAGCTGCGAGGACGAGGCGCCGGTCGCGGCAGACCTCACCTTCGTGTACGTGTACTGGTCGTAGGCCGCTATGGAGTCCGGCGAGAACGTCTCGCAGGCTTCGGACTTGCTGTCGTGGATGATGTAGGTGGAGCAGTGACTGAGCTCGCGGTCGTCCTCGTCGTGGGTGAGCGTGTCGGTGCTCTCGCTGTTGCCGTCTCCCTTGGTCGGCTCGGGGTCCATCGCGAGGTCGTCGAAATTCTCTTCGACGTTGTAAAGCGTGTCGTTGGAGCACCACGAGTCGATGCTCGTCGCTTTGGAGAGGCACTCGGAGGGCTGCTTGGACAGCTTGGCGTCGGTGGGCAGCGTGGTCTTGGACAGGGTGGAGACGCCGGTCGGGTTGTCGAGGTTGTCGGAGGTGTCGGTGGTCGGGCTCACGAGGAAGGGCGACACTTGCGAGATCCGCTCGCAGCTCGATTCCTTCTCGTCGTTCTTAGTGTACGTCCTGTCGTCGACGGGAGAGTGCATGTCTGGTTTCGTTCCTTTACACGGACTAGCGTTTAGGCTATCGGCGCTCATCGTGACCCTGCAATGTTATGGATTAACGATTTTTATACGTTTTTTTTCTTCGTTTTATGTATTTTATTTTTTAAAGATAGTTTCGAAGGCAGGAGATTAGTTTATACTAATTTTGATGTTTCACGGATTTACCAAACTATAAAGTGTTTATGTCTTATATTTATTAAATGACTAGATACAAAAACCTTAATGATAGACGGGGTTCGAAATTCAAAGATGTTCTTGGGTTATCACATATACTATTTATGGATATAATATAATTTGTAACTTGGGTACTCACTCGGCGGTGGGCACGTCTTTGTGCAGTGTGTAGGTGTGGTTGTGAGTGTGCAGCGAGTACGTGGCGGGGGAGGAGGCGGGGGAGGGCGCAGGAGAGGGTGCGGGTGAGGGCGGCTGCGTGCTCTGCTCGGTCCAGTTGTTGCAGGGCTCCGGGTAGCTTTCCGACGATTCCGTTAGAAGAGAAGCGTTCCCTGTTCGAACCAATTACATCTTAAATTTCATTAGTTTTAATGAATGTCAAAAAACCGACACAAGGCATGAATAATTAATTAGTGGTGATAGGACGCCTTGTGAGTTCGCACGGGTAGGTGCCACCACCCTGCCTATTTCTGCCGTGAAGCAGTAATGCGTTTCGGTTTGAAGGGTGGGCAGTCGTTGACTGAGTCTTTAGAACTCATATCTCAAAGTGGGTGGCAGCATTTACGTTGTAGATGTCTATGGGCTCCAGTAACCACTTAACACCAGATGGGCTGTGAGCTCGTCCACCCATCTAAGCAATAAAAAAATGAAAAAAAAAACAGGTGGGCGAGCAAAGGCTCAGACCGCCGGGTTCGAATTTGCTAACAGCTGCTCGAACGCCTCCGAAAAAGACCTAACAACTGAAGAAAAGCTGCTTCGCGAATGATTTTACCAGCGGATCAGAATCGTGACCCGCTGAGAAGATCCGGCGAAAAACTCAGCGGGTTGATGCATGGGTTAGGTTGCACGTCGAACTCTTTGCCGAGAATCTTATTTATTGCATCACTAGCTGACCCGGCAGACTTCATAGTGCCTCAATCGATAAATAAAAGACCTAAACTTTTATATAGAATAAACTTAAAACAAACAAAAGGAATCCGTCCGACGGGGGACACGTCAAAGGGAAAACAAAATTGTTATTTTTATTTAATTCCGAGAATTTTCATATTTTTATACCTTTTAAACCTTCTCTGGACTTCCACAAATAATTCAAGACCAAAATTAGCCAAATCGGTCAAGCCGTTTTCATGTTATGTCGTGACAACGGAAAACGGGTTTCATTTTTATATATATAGATTTACATATCGCAATCAATCGCATTCAATATCCCAGTTCGTGCATCAATGTATGTTGAAATTAGAAAAATGATTTATAACTCCTATATTGATCGTATTACAGGTGTTTAGTGAATAATGTTATCCTTTTTTTTTGTTATTGCTTAGTTGGGTGGACGAGCTCACAGTCCACCTGGTGTTAAGTGGTTGCCGGAGCCCATAGACATCTACAATGTAAATGCGCCACCCACCATGAGATATAAGTTCTAAGGTCTCAAGTATAGTTACAACGGCTGCTCCATCCTTCAAACCGAAACGCATTACTGCCTCACGGCAGACAGTGGTGGATTTACACTGGGGGCAGTCGGGGCAAGTGCCCAGGGCGGAAAATTTTCGAAAGTTAGAAAAAAAACAAATATTTATTAATGTTTTTGGAATATATAACATCTTGTAGGGACCATAAATGAGTCGACTATTATCAAAGCCGGCAATGTGACTTTTGGACAATTATTGGTAAATCAGAAAAACGAATTATTGACTTTGTATTCCATTGGCAGTCACAAAACTCTTCTGAACGACATCTTAGATAAATAACAGGTTAAGTATTAACCTTTATTTAATGCAGGTTTTGAACCGTATTCTTTGAAGGAGACGATTATATTCAAATCAATCTGTATTGACATATCAATAACATTTTTTTGTCCAAACGCACAGATTGCCACCTTTGATAATAGACGACTCAAATAATCCTATAGCAACTATTAATATGTATGTGTGAGCGATAATTACATTGCAGTGATGCTACGTCAGTCTCGGGATTGTCGAGCTGTCGATAGCAAATGAGGTTGTAATCCCAATATACTTTAGTCACTTAACTGAACACATGTCTTATTAATCCTTGCCCGATATTAAGTCAACAATCTAATAAAGTTTCTGCAATAAATTAATTTCAGTAGTGGGGCGGATCTTTTTCCGGTGCCCAGGAGCGGCATTCAGTTTAAATCTGGCCCTGACGGCAGAAACGGGCGGGGTGTTGGTACCTACCCGTGCGGACTCACAAGAGGTCCTACAACCAGTAAAAACATGTATATACGAGAGTGTGCTCACAGTTGGCGTCGTTCTCGTAGGCGCAGAGCTGCTGGCCGGTCTCCTCGGCGATGGGGCTGAGCGCGCCCGGGTAGGACAGCACGAGCTCGGGCGGCGCCGGCAGCTGCGCCGTCCACTCGCCGCGCTCCGCCTCGCACTGCGGCTCTATGGCCGCCACCTGCGCACCACGCGCCTTAATGTTACCTCCACTTTTTAATTATATTTTTTTTTTATTGTTTAGATGGGTGGACGAGCTCACTGCCCACCTGGTGTTCAGTGGTTACTGGAACCCATAGATATCTATAACGTAAATGCGCCACCCACCTTGAGATATAAGTTCTAAGGTCTCAGGTAGTTACAACGGCTGCCCTACCTTTCAAACCGAAACGCATTACTGCTTCACGGCAGAAATAGACAGGGTGGTGGTACCTACCCGTGCGGACTCACAAGAGCTCCTACCACCAGTAATCTATACTAATATTATAAAGCTGAAGAGTTTGTTTGTTTGAACGCGCTAATCTCAGGAACTACAGGTCCGATTTGAAAAAATCTTTCAGTGTTAGATAGCCCATTTATCGCGGGAGGCTATATAACATCACGCTAAGACCAATGCAAGCGGAACACCCATAAAGAATCGGGGTTTTTTTCCCTTTTGAAAGCTTCCGCTGCGTGCGCTGCGGAAACGGTTAAAGTTTCGCTAAAATAATGTATGATAAAATTGTTCCCCTTTAAAAGATCTAAAAAAAATTCCGCAGCAGCATAATAGGTCTATATGTTAAGGTTGGCTTATTATAACGTTTTATGGTCGAATTGATAATTTCCTCTTTTGAAGTCGGTTAAAAAGCGTGATTTTGGTACCTTAAATAGCTCCTTAACATTCTATTATTCAAAAATATTTTCATTTCCTACGTAAATGAAGAGGCGGGTAATATTTAGCGTTATGCCAAAGTAACTATTCCACGCGGACGAAGTCGCGGGAAAAAGCTAGTATATTAATACGTGAAGCAAAAACTTTGTACCACTTTTAACGAAAATTGTGCGGACGGGTGCAGAATGCATATATTTTTTTTATTATTCATTAAAAATACTTTAAATAAATAAATAAAAAATATGACACACGCTGCAATATATTTGACACACGGATATATACTCTATTGTTTATTTTTAAAGTCTGTGGTTAAATTGAGAATAGATTAATATTGTTTGTCTTCATTATTGTTTATGTGTGTAGCCTTGTCGAAATATGGTATTATTTTAAAAGTTAAAGTTCTTTATAGGATACTCTTTTCAAAAACCTTTTAGCAATTTCTGGAAAATATGTGAAAATAAGCTCAGCACCAAAAGGGTTAATAATAAGGGTTAAAGTCTTTGTCGAACCTACGAAATTGCCGTTTAGTATACAGAAAGTTGAAGTCATTTTTATATGTGTGTGTTGATGAATAAAGTAGAAAAAAGGTGAAAACAAAACAATAATCAATAAACAAATGACAGAATTTGAAAAAAGAATTCCATATTTTTAAATTAAGATTGATTACGTTTCAAATGGCCAGTATTGTAAAACGGCAACATCTTAAGTATTTTATCTATTATTTTAAAAGTTAACATGTAAGTGAGAAATGAAACAAAATAATCTTCTGCACATTGACTAGATTATAAACAATTCGATAAAGGCAAAAGCAATCCTTAATATTGTTGACTACGTTCGTAGCCTCCATAGCTCAGGGGTTAGAGCACTGGTCTTGTAAACCAGGGGTCGAGAGTTCAAATCTCTCTGGGGGCAAACACTTTTTGTACTTTTTTACGATTGAATTATTTCAATTATATTTTAAAAAAAGGCTTTCGTCCAACTTTGTTACCTACTGGAAAATTTAAAACAATTATTTTCAATTAAAAATAATAAATAATCGCACTATACTCAAGTATATACCACTAATGTTATTTCAACCGATTTTGAGCAGTTAATTTTTACTGTTCCACAAAGATTAAGTTATCGATGCACTCACCTGAGCTAGAGGCAGTTTCAATTCGAGTTCATTCCTAAGGGCCTTCACACACTCTTCGTCCAACGTTAGGTCCTCTCGCAGATCCTCTACAGATCCTCCGTTTCCAGCTAAAATTGATTCCTCGAGTACATCGTCTTCAAGACCTTCAACCGTCAAAGGCCCAGAATATTCAATGTTCATATTATTCTCGTTTTCGGCCATAGCCAACTTCGAAGTTATCTGTAATTCTATTTGATTTAAGTCGATTTCGTTCTGAACGGCGTCGACTTGCTCTGTCGATTGTGGAACCTCTTTAGACACGTCCAAGTCGATATTAACTAAATACTTGTGATGAGATGTCGAGGCAAGGAACACTCCGGGTGAATTGGGAGGCGTAGATGGCGAGACATGCTTTTCGGTCACAGAATGCCCGCTATCTTCGGTGTTCGTTTCGGTCTGCGGGTCCGAAATACTAATTTTCGGTTCGTTTTCATTAACATCAGGTTCAACTTTCGATTTCGACTCGCTGGACGTGATATCGTAGAACTCGTCCTGACATATATCCGGCACTTCGTTCAGGAAATTAACGTCGCGTAACGGCGATGGAGTTTCAAGATTCATTTCGCTGAAGTTGGACGAAAACGCCAACAATTCCTCTTTTGGCAGATCTACCAACTCTGATTTGACGCCTTTGTATATTTCCAGAGAACAGTTTTCAAAGGGCCCCAACACTACTGAACTGTTTTCGTCGAAAGTGTCAGTGGGGTGACTTTTCGTGGGCGACTCGAAAGGACTTAGGCTTTCCGGAACAAACGTTTGTTCCAACTTAGTCAGTGTCACACCAGGACCGTAATCAGGAACTTTTGTTTCTGATAAAATATTTTTTATTTCTTCATCTTTATTGATCGTGTTTTCGGCAAAGTCTACAGAATTATCGCTTCCTAAAGGTGTACTTGAGACCAAACCTGTTTTAAAACAGCTCTCAGCGTTTAGTCTCTCCATGTGGAGGAAATTATCAATTTCCTTAGCTACTTTGACGGTAGGTAGATCCAGATAAACTGTAGATTCATTTTTCAAGAGAGAAATATCTTGTAAGCCTGACGAATCTAAGCACAAAGGCATTGCTCCAACGTCTCTGTTCAGTTTAGTAGCTTGTTTCAACTCACCAGAGTTTTCAACGAGATCCAAATAGACAGTGCTGTCATTTGACTGTTCTTTCAAATCATATATCACATAATCAGATCTAGACGTGTCTGTCGTATCGTTTTTTGTTGTATTTCCATCTATTTCGCATTTAAAAATCTTATCACTATTTTGTACTTCTTCAGGTGGCAAAAAAGACGATTGACTATTATTAAAAATTTCAGATTTAATGTCTGAATGAATAATGGGATTTTCACTAAATGTGTTTGCCTTATCAGATTCTATATTTACATTATTTTGTACTGTACTAGGTGGCTGTTCGGGAGAGAGAACAGTTGAGTAGAGTGCTGTAGCATGATCAATTTCCTTAGGAACCCCTTCAATGCAAACATTACTGTCACACGAACTTTCAATGTCCATAGGTAGTTTTGTCACTTCTACATTTTCTAAATCTATCTTTTCAAAAGAGTATATTGTATTTTCTGATGATATTTTATGTTCTTGTGTACGTTCTGCATCTAAACAATTCAGTGTATTTTCTAAAGTAAGATCTTTCGTTTCAGTCTTATTATTCATTTCATAATCATTTTCGATATTTTGTACTCGGTCGTTCGTAGCTGTGGGTAAAGATTGTGTTATTTCTAAATCATTTAAACCTGATTCATTCGTGGAGCATGTTTCTTTTGCTGTACTCCTTTCAGATGATTTCAAATCAATTTCCTTGATAGATTCAGCCTCAATAAAATCTAATGTTGCTTGTACATTATTTTGTAACGTGTTACTGTATATTTCTTCACTATGAACATTTCCATCGTTATTTATGTCCTCAACTATATGAATTTGTTCATTTGATGTATCGGTACTCTTTTCGTGATTTTGTTTATTCGACTCTAAGAGCAGAATAACTTGACTTGATGTTTCAGAAGTTGGAAATTGTTCAATGTTATTCAAATCGATAGGTACTTCTTCTATATTATTTTCTATGCATTCTATTTTATTTACTTTAATTTTCGGAAGATTCATTTTTATTTTGGGTAGATCTTCTGTTGAAATTGGTTTTTCACCAAATTTTAGAAATGAAATATTTGATGTTTCCGTATCCTCGTGCGTATCAAGAGCGTTAAATTCTTTTTTTACACTTTCACTATCGACTGTAAAGTGTATAGTATCGGATGTTTTGTTGCACACATTTTCTCCTTCACTTTGCGCTTCAAGTGAACTTTCACAAAGTTTTATTTCTTCTAAATCGTTAAATTTTACTACATTATTAACTATATCTATTTTGTTAGGATCACTTTTAACAACATGTGACTCTACTAAACTATCAATTACGTTTTCAATGAGATCACTAAATTCTACGTTTTGTTTATTATAACTACTGCTTGATTCATTTTTTGAGTCTTCTCTTTCAAGCCCTGAATTTTCACATATAAGTTCATGTTTATTATTTGTATGTAAATTAGGCAAGACATTTTTATCTACACTGTCTAATATAATATCATTTTTCTCTTCAATAAACTCTCCAGCCTCCTCACTAGATAGTAGGTTATCATCTAATGACTTAGTTCCTTCCTTAACATCAATTTCTTTGTTTACATTACTATCACACTTAAACTGGCAGTCTTCACTTCTAACATGCTGTATATTTTCACTTACACTAGATATAGAGGACGCGCACAATTCCTTCAATTTAGGTATCTCACTATCACTATTAGCTACTTTATCATTTGGCAATACATTTCGCACATCTACCTCGTCGTGCGCTACTTCATCAAGATCAAGAGGAACATTTAGTCCAGAAATTCCAGTACCAACTAAATCTTTTATAGGTGTTTCTGGAGTGAGATTTTCTAACGTTTGTTGACTGATCGTGTCGCTGTGCCTTTCGAATGAGTGACTCAACGTCCCGATTGTATCACGGTCGACATCTTCGTCTTCTGTCTCGTCTTGATTAGTATCGAAACCAGCGTCTAGAATGTTCTGGAAATTATTGATACCGGGTGATTTGACTAAACTAGACTGTACCGGATACTCTTTTTTACAGTCCAAACTCAAATTGTCCCTTGAAGGACTAGCCTGATGACTAGATTCAGAGCTTGAAGTTTTTTCAGAATTCAGCATATTATCGAGATTCTTAATGACGTCGCTGACGTCTTTAAAGTAGCTGACGTCGTCCTGGCTCCCCGCCATGATGTCCTTCACCCAGGGATCAACTGAACTATCGGATTTATCGTTTTCTTTTTCTCTCCCTTCGTCGAGTTGCATATTTCCTTGATGGCATTCGAGGGCGGCCATCTCGTTGTGCGTGAGGTAGATGTTCCTGACGTCTTCCAGCGATCCGTGGAGGTTGGTGAGACTCTCGGACTTGATCTGTACGGACAGGGGATCCTTGTCCGACATGATACTGCTGGATCTGGAGACGGCGGTGTCCATGTCGATGCTGAGCGTGTCGTGTGCGGTGTGCGCGTCGTCGAGCTCGCGGTCGGAGCCGGTGAAGTGCGAGGCGACGGAGGTGGAGGGGGCGTGCACGATGGCGACGTGCTCGTCTATCTTCGGTATCGTGTTGGGTTTGAGTCGTTGCCAACGTTCCTCGAAGTCGCTGGTCCCGAAGCTCCCGTCTTGCGACAGCTCTGTGGTCTCCGTGTGACTTGTGTACAAGTGATCGATGAGACCGTGAACCTGGGCGGAAGTAGGACGAGCATCCGGATTGGTGTTCCAGCACAGCTGCATCACTTGATATCTGTAATTAAACAAATATATGTAAACTGTGGGTCTAATTATAAAAATGCTGCTTTATTTTTCTTATAATACTAACAGATGATTTCTGTACGGGCAGGGGAGGTCGGGTAGCGGCGGCGGTAGAGCGACGGGTGTTGCTCCCCAGGCGCAGACCTCCCATATCAGATTTCCTAGGAACCATACTTCACTGCTGGCCTGAAACAAATAATACAATATTATGTTTAACAAAAATCACGAATCCTGCTAAAAAACTTTCGATAGATATAAATAGATACTTTATTTTGGACATATTAATTAGACAAGTGACTAGGAGATGTATGGAAATGGTAGTACAAGGTAGAGTGGGAAGAGGTCGATCGAAAAAGACATGTGTGAGTGAATGACGATATGATAGTTTAAGAGGACTGAGTGTTGAGATGACAGCTGATAGAAGTGGTCCCCACCTAGTGGAATAAGGTGGAGATGAAGAAGAAGAAGAAGTGGCCAAAAAGTTCTAGAGGGGCGGGAATGCGTTGGATGCGGGCTCCGCAAGGCCAGTCATTACGGTGAACCTTGAGTGAGGCCTATGTCTAGCAGTGGACGTCTGTGGGCTGGCGGCAGCGACGACACATTGTTTTTTTTTTCAATGTAAAACATTAATGATTTCGTATTCAGTGGGACTTTTTTTAAAGGGATTTATGACCTGGTAACTTAAACCTTAAAGTCATGTCTTTTTTAATTTATTTTCTTATTTTTATGAAAAATGATAATATGGAGTGAAATGAAATGAAATGAGATTATAAGGGATGAAATATAATCTCAGTAAAATAGTGGTAATTTACTCAGATTTTTTCAGTGGACCTTTCGGAGGATCACGAGAAGTTACGTCCAGCGGCTTCGTTTCATTTTCCCGCATTTGTGCACTTTCACAGATATTAAACAGTTAATAAACCTAGAGAAACACTAAATAGACAAAATAAAACAAATCACACAACTTCACTCCTCCCGCCAAAAGTCCTCAGCGGGACTGAATGAACAAATTCACAGACTACTTGACTACTCGCACAGATTACCCACCGTGTACAGAGGCGGGTGTCTCCTCGTCTCGGGAGCGTCGTGTTCGTACGGAGATTCGGCATTCGTGTACCGTCCCAGCACGGCCCGCGCGTTGTCCGCCTCGCCGCGTACTAGCACGTTACCGCTCCATAGATTCCTGAAATTTAAAATTCGTACCAACATATATTTTAGAAATTTTTTATTTATTTTTATTGCTTACATGGGTGGACGAGCTCACAGCATACCTGGTGTTAAGTGGTTACTGGAGCCCATAGACATCTACGACGTAAATGCGCCACCCACCTTGAGATATCAGTTCTAAAGTCTCAGTATAGTTACAACGGCTACCCCGCCCTTCCAACCAAAACGCATTGCTGCTTCACGGCAGAAATAGGCAGGGTGGTTGTACCTATTAGTACGGACTCAAAAGACATCCTTCACCAGTAATTACGCAAACTGTAATTTTGCGTGTTTTTACTGGTGGTAGGACCTGCCTGTATTTCTGCCGTTAAGCAGTAATGCGTTTCGACTTTTAGGTGGGCAGCCGTTGTATTGTTTTAAGTGAGACCTTACAACTCATGTCCTAAAATGGGTGGCGGTATTTACGTTGTAGATGTCGTCTACCCACCAAAGCAATAAATTAAAAACAATTTATTGTTTGTAGGCACTTATTTAACACAATCTTCGGCACAGCAAACTATCCGAGAATTTATTAAAATTAAAATATTGTTAGCAGACAAACAAATCTAAACGAATTATGTTGAGATTAAATCTGATAGTATAAGAACGTACCCGTACAAATGTCCCCTGGAATTGAGATAGGAGAGTCCGGAAGTGACGTCACACATCAACCGCAACGGAACCCCGCTCTCGTTCAGTATCGCCATCTTCGGTTTGTTCACTGTTAGGTATTGATGGAGATCCTGCAAGTAAATAAATCAGTAGGTAATTTAAGTTAAGTAACATTATGGATAAGAAATCATGTCGGTATATTGTCGATGAAGCTGAGAGAATAATCGAAAAATTTTAGATTATTCTCTCAGCTTCATAGATGTATGTACATATTAAATGTATTTTAATTACGCACAGTCAAAAGTGCTGTGAAAACTTTACTTTATGGTTGAGCGCAATTTCAAAATATGTGACGTCATTTGGGGTTAAAACGAAAGGCAAGCTATTACACCATTAGCCATTACAAATTGCCGATTGCCTATTACCGTAGTCAGTGAACTAAATTATTATGATTAGACGTCTCTTACTGTACTGCACAATTCGAATATGACAATCCATGGGTCTTCCTGCAGACATCTCGCGACGTAGCCGAGAATGGTATCGTGTCGCGAATCCCGGTACAACTTGGCTTCGTCTAAGAACCTGGCCTTGTCTTCTAGATTAGCATTCGGGTTGAGTATCTTCACGGCCACCGCTTTCGTTGGGCCAGCATCGTCGACCTCACCTTCCACCACCTGTAACATGGAAGCGTTATAGGTTAATCATAAAAATTGATAGCTAAAACTATTTACTTACTCTTATAGAAAGAAAAAAAACTTAATATTGCAAACAACAAAATTAAGTGATTTTTCACACCTTTTCTAGTGTACCTTTGTACATTTACTAGATGATGATGCACTAGGTAGGTTTCTATCTAAGCTGGTAGCCTTGAGAGGCTATGCCGGTGTAACCGAGCGAGTAGGTGAGCTCTCGAGGCTCTAACCTTACTACGTTGCTAACACTAACCCTAGCAAGAGCAGTGCTTCGCAGAATCTACCACTGGATCAGATGCGCGACCTAATGAAAAAATCCGGCGTGAAACTCAGTGGGCTTTGTCTATGGGTTAGTAGGTGCTTTCATAAATTCTATCTAAGCAGTCATTTTTTCTTTACCTGTTACACTGTTATCACATCCTAGATGTATGTATGTAATTATTCAACGACATAGTGATCGCAGCACTAACTATGAGATGACCTGTTGCGCCGAGGGTCGAGGGTTCGATTCCCACATCGGGCAACCGTTCGTGTGATAAACAGGTTTGTTTGCGGTAGGCAGCGGCCTGGCTCTGCCCCTGGCATTGCTGAATTCCATGAGCGACGGTAACCACTCACCATCAGGTGGGCCGTATGCTCGTCTGCCAATAAGGGCAATAAAAAAAAAAAACTTTGGCTGGGTGTTTATTATCCATACATTAATATATATTTAAACCTATATAAGTAACATACACACGTCGCGTAAATCAGACTTCGGTACCCATAACATAGGTGAACGGTCGGTTCGTTCTTGGTTATCTATCTAGCTTGTTATTTTAAGAAAGGCAGGGAAGGGAACGGTCTTCCTTGTCCCTTTTTTCTTTTGTTTCTTTTCGAATCACACCTGTCAAATCTCTATTTTATTTCCACAGGAGAAAATCGCCGGATCCCCATCCGCGCAGCGGGTGGGTTATGTGGGAGTTGAACCTCACTAAAAACTCCTGCCGCTCACAGCCGGCGCCCTACCCCGGACCGGGCCGAAGCCTAGTCGGAGTTATTAGTCTTATTAGTTTATGTCTAGTCATTGTATGCCCCTGTCAAAGAGGTTGCACGCCAAGACAACAGGGAATCCTAATTTAAAGTCGGATAAATGTGCATGATTTGTTCCCAATTTACTTTTAACTAACTTTTCATTTCGCGTCAGTACCCTATATCGTAAACATTACTAATGTTTTTTTTCGCTTTTTCTCAAGTAATGACTAATTTATCATTTATCGAAAAGGTCCTACATACAATTCTTTATCACTCTTGACACCTGAACATTTTATTAGACAAGTATTTTTACTAATAAAAAGTCGATAAAACAAAACAGCTCTAAAGTCGAGTCGAGTTTGGCTGAAGCATGGTTACACCATTTATGTGTACCTAAATACTGAAGTCACTATCGTTACTAATTTAATACTTACTCTGCCGAACCATCCACGTCCTATCTCCCGAAGGTACTGCAATTGATTCCTCGGGAAATCCTCCCCGCCTGAGAATAGAAATAAACACCATCATATTAATTTAGACGACACATTAATATAGCCAAACGTTTCACAACGATTATATCGACAAAGCTATTTGGTCTAAGCAACAGTTTACTGCTTTACCAGCCATTTAAAGTTTAAAATATGGAATAAATTGCGTGACAATAAAACTTTTTCAGCTATTTGAATGACTAACTTCATTGTGATTCAAAAACACCAAACTGTTGATACTAAATACCAAATAAAACGCACCTTTAATTATAAAGATATTTATCGCATTTTAAGCGAAATGTCGCTTAAACCATTTAGCCTTTCACCCCTCGATATATAATTTATATTCATTACGTACATATCCATCTTTTTTTTTCTACCTATTCTGGTAACCTCGAGGCGTTATTCTAGATTCACCGAACTAGTAGGTGAGCTCACGGAGCTCAAACCGGGAGTGTTGCTAACACTGGCCCTAGCAAGAGCAGTGCTTCACAGAATCTACCACCGCCTTCCTTCCTGGCTGAGCCTTTGCTCGCCCACCTGTCCTGGTGAAACTGGAAAGGCCTTCGGGCCACCAGTAATACTTCAATGCTAAAAAAAATATCTACCACCGGATCGGAAACGCGACTCGCTGAGAAAGCCCGGCCAGAAACTCAGTGGTCTGTGTCTATGGGTTAAGCTCACCTAAAAATCTAGCTAATACAACGATAAGTAATCTTTACATACATCAATAACTAAACAACACTTCTCGCTACCACCAAACCCTTTTCGTTAACTTAAAGCTCAGAATAAACCTGTACTGTAATTCTTAATTAACACCGAATCCTAACGCAAACAATAATGAACCGAACACAGACTCATTGATGGGAACTTATCAATGCTCGGTTGAATACAATGGTAACGGGTCGAGATGACGCACGATACGGTCGCTTAGCACACCTACCTCCATCATTGTTTATCTATTTATACGTGCTACAAGGTCGTGTGTGTGTATACAATTTAACCGACATTCAATTGAGTGGAAGGATTGATATCACTTTTTTTTTCTTACCTATGCTGATAGCCTATTCTGATTTTACTGGTGGTAGGACCTCTTGTGAGTCCGCGCGGGTAGGTCCCACCGCCCTGCCTATTTCTGCCCTGAAGCAGTAATGCGTTTAGGTTTGAAGGGTGGGGCAGTCGTTGTAACTATACTGAGATCTTAGAACTTATATCTCAAGATGGGTGGCGCATTTACGTTGTAGATGTCTATGGGCTCCAGTAACCATTTAACATCAGGTGGGCTGTGAGCTCGTCCACACATCTAAGCAATAAAAAAAAAGCCTTAAGAGGCTATTTCAGGTTCGCCCTAACATGTAGGTGAGCTCACGGGGCTCAAACCGGAGTGTTGCTAACACTGGCCCTAGCAAGAGCAGTGCTTCACAGAATCTACCACCGCCTTCCTTCCTGGCTGAGCCTTTGCTCGCCCACCTGTCCTGGTGAAACTGGAAAGGCCTTCGGGCCACCAGTAATACTTCAATGCTAAAAAAAATATCTACCACCGGATCGGAAACGCGACTCGCTGAGAAAGCCCGGCCAGAAACTCAGTGGTCTGTGTCTATGGGTTAAGCTCACCTAAAAATCTAGCTAATACAACGATAAGTAATCTTTACATACATCAATAACTAAACAACACTTCTCGCTACCACCAAACCCTTTTCGTTAACTTAAAGCTCAGAATAAACCTGTACTGTAATTCTTAATTAACACCGAATCCTAACGCAAACAATAATGAACCGAACACAGACTCATTGATGGGAACTTATCAATGCTCGGTTGAATACAATGGTAACGGGTCGAGATGACGCACGATACGGTCGCTTAGCACACCTACCTCCATCATTGTTTATCTATTTATACGTGCTACAAGGTCGTGTGTGTGTATACAATTTAACCGACATTCAATTGAGTGGAAGGATTGATATCACTTTTTTTTTCTTACCTATGCTGATAGCCTATGCTGATTTTACTGGTGGTAGGACCTCTTGTGAGTCCGCGCGGGTAGGTCCCACCGCCCTGCCTATTTCTGCCTTGAAGCAGTAATGCGTTTCGGTTTGAAGGGTGGGGCAGCCGTTGTAACTATACTGAGATCTTAGAACTTATATCTCAAGATGGGTGGCGCATTTACGTTGTAGATGTCTATGGGCTCCAGTAACCATTTAACATCAGGTGGGCTGTGAGCTCGTCCACACATCTAAGCAATAAAAAAAAAGCCTTAAGAGGCTATTTCAGGTTCGCCCTAACATGTAGGTGAGCTCACGGGGCTCAAACCGGAGTGTTGCTAACACTGGCCCTAGCAAGAGCAGTGCTTCGCAGAATCTACCACCGCGGATCGGAAAAGCGACCCACTGAGATGATCCGGCGAGAAACTCAATGGGCTGTTTCTGTGGGTTAATTCGCTTGTCGAGCCTTTCGTCGCAAGCGTCAGGTTCGACGAGGATGGTGACCGGTGCTTGTGGTACCTAAGAGCACCGTTAATGGGATGATATCACGCTGCCCGTATCTGGCCCGAAGCTGTACGTTCCATATTAAATCGTTTTTTTTTTTCATTGAAGGATTACTAGACTGAGAATGTAAAATGTAGCCAATTTTAACGTAAATGCTTGATGCCACATTATAGCGATGCGATCCGAGACCGGTGTCTGTTCAATTCGTCTATTCGTCACTCTATAGGAAACAAGAGGTCCTACCACCAGTAAGATTTACTAATTTATAACTTAAATCGAACATTACATTCTTAAATCAAATTTTCCAAAACTTCCAACGAGGGTCCGCAAAACAGAACTTATTTAATTAAAAACGAGCACAAAACTCACTGAACCAGTCCGCGCATCGCTCCAGGGGATCGGCGACCCTCAGCTCTGTGGGGAGCGGCTCGAACTCCACCACGGACTCGCGGCTGATCCTGTTTCTCTCCTCGTTCTCGCTCACGATATAAGCGGCGGCATTGTTGTTGGCAATGTTCTGCATTTCACGAAGCGATATAGGGCCATTGTTGTTGTCTTCGCTTATGTTGTTGTTCGCTGGCTCGGAGAATCCGGAATCGGGAGGGTTCGTACGTCGATTGTCGTGCAGGTGTGTCGCGCTCGCGGTGAATAGCTGGAGATAAGATAAAACAAATTTTGAAAACTACGGAAAATAAAAAAACGCTTCAAAAATATTTACCGAATGGCGAAAGGATATTTGGTTTAAGCGAAATTTTTTGCAAGTTTACAGGAGAGCCATTTAAAGTCTAAAATTTGGAGAACATGGCATAACAAAAAACCTCTTTAGCTATTTGAATGGAATAAGCTTGATTGAAGTTCAATTAAAAACATCGAACAGTTGATGATAATCACTCCATAGAATATAATAACGTCGCTTTCTGTCTCTATATCCCTATGTATGCTTAAATCTTTAAAACTACGCAACGAATTTTGATGCGTTTTTTTTAATAGATAGAGTGATTGAAGAGGAAGGTTTATATGTATAATAATATCCATTAAATAGTGGAGAAATCAATAATAAATCACAGTTTCCGAAGCGAAGCGGGGGCGGGTCGCTAGTATCAAATAAAATGCAATAATTAATTACAAAGGGAAATGTCGTTTAAACCAAATGTCCTTTCACCTCTCGATACGTTCCTATGTGGTTATTAAGTGATGCACTGCAATTCCCACTAATAGTTCTACAGAATCCAAAAAAACAAAAACAGACATTCGTTTCTGAATTATTTTTACGATTTATAAATTAAAGTAATGTTAAAATTATTAAGAATAAAAATAAACATGCAAATTACGTATTTAATAAAGTAGGTATGCACGAACGTCATAGAATCAATATTTTTCAACATGTTTTCGTGGAAGACAGCCTTTACTGCGTCACAATTCTTTGTACACGATGTCTTCGTAAAATTCGTGGAAGAATAGAGTACGTTTTATTCATTACCAAAATAATGAACATATTACTCATTAATTAGGAATTTTATTGCCAGAAATACGATCTCTTCCCAACAGATATTACATGATTAAGAATCTTATTAGAAAAAAGATCGATAATAGGGTACTCTCTCCTCCCACTAATTGTTACGAATAGAAAGTGAAAAAGAAAACCATGGAATTGGTTATTCACTAATCGAAAGAATACGAAAATTAAAAGGGGAACATTAGGACCTTTTACAATTGATTATTAGACACAAAATACTACCTATTTAATTATTCAATTGTTTTAATTGTGCAATCAATAGTAAATGTAGTTTACATAAATACATAAATAAACTACTGGTAACAATTAAAACTTCACCAACACAATCTACTACCCGTTTTCCAACAAACAATATATAATGTATGAAATTACTTCTTCAAAAATGGTTTTAATGAACGAAAACAAAAAAAAAACAAAAAAAACTACGTGTATTTTAGATTTATTGACTACCTGATTGTCCGCTCCTGAGTTAGGCTGCTGACAAACAGAAAAAAAAATTAAGATTAAACAAAGCACTTGTCGTTTTTACTATGTTTTTAAAGTTATTATTTCACTGTTGTCTATAGACTCGGTCCCATGCTAAATTCAAATTATTAGAATGTTGTATTATACTTGTGAATATGCCGATATATTATGATGTGCAAAATGAAATAAAGTAACTAAGTCTTGAGTTTATTTATTTTACTTTCAAACAATCAACTAATATCTATACAGGTATATTCTTCTTCTTGTCTTGTTGTAGGGTTGGTGCAGCATTCAAGCCTATCTTACGTCATCTCTGCACTCACATCCCCTTTTCTCGCATATGCTCTTTCACGTAGTGTGTGAAGTGTTTTTAGGACGCCATAAAATCTATATAGATTCATTAAAATTAATTGCCAGCTGCATGACAGAAACTCACTTGAAAAAGGCTCAATCGATTCGGATACTTTATTTTGCGTTCGTTATAGTCGGGACAAGGTTTATATCAACTCAAACCACAAAAACTTTATCAATTCTAATCTAATTTCTCTTGATACAACGGTATTGTAAGCCCGCACTGGCAGTTACCTTGCTTATATGTAAGGCGACGCGTGGGTATGCTTTTGTACTATGACACAGCACGCGTTAAGGTCGATGGCGGTACGACTATAAACACCAGTAGCCTCTTAATACTAGATGGGGTCATGGGCTGGTCCATCCGTCAATTGTCATACAATTAGCGATAATCACAGCGGAGCGACACCGAGCTCCGCTGGTTATAAAAATCTTGATACCTTTATCGTTATGTGCAATAAAATCCTTTTTAATTGACTTCAAAAAAAGGTGGATGTTCTCAATTCGATTCCAAACCTCAAAATTTTTTTGTAGCTCAACCGATTTTGATGGGAAGCTGGTGTTTCTCATAAGTTCTATTTAATCAAATTATACTAAAATCTGACCAGTAGTTTTTTTTAGTTACCCTCAATAATGCATATTTAAATTAACTCGACTACATTGATGATATTCTAGTTTGATTTTTTAATTATTTCTTTCGTTCATGTTGTATGTTATATAAAATACATATTAACCAAATAATTCCAGATAGCCTTCAGTGTATATTGCTAGGAAACAAAATGGACATCAATTTATTGAAACGAGTAGAGCCTCACATTTCGCGCGTTAACGGTACAATCAAATCAAAGCAAATAAAATAAAAAAAATTCAACATAAATGAAAATACGTACTTGTTGAACGTCAAAAGAACTACCGCCAATTCACAAAAACTAGCCTCCGTCCTGAGAAGAATTGGCAAGAAACTCAGCGGGCATGTCTTTTTTTTTCTTTAATATTAGATAAAAAAAAAAAATATTAGATTTTTTTATCAATACCAAGGAACCCTATCCCCGAAGAGCCAATTTTTAACTCTGTCGACTAAACGACCCGCGATCATAGCACGTACAAACAAGGAGAATTATTTTTATTACGCCATTAGAAAACGTTTTGAGGTACATAAAAATTGAATCTGCGATCTCGGCTCGTCTCAACCACGAGCGCAGCATAATATGTGATGACATCTTACATCATGTCGAAACCTTGCGCGGTAATGTTACACAAATGTTTAGATTCAAATATTAAAAGTTTTATGTAAATAATATACTAATATACGACTACTCAACAAAGAAGTGTGATGTTTTCATGGTTTATGTACGTGTGTGTGTGTGTGTGAGTTTTGTTTATTCCATTATAACTTCTCGGTGCTTGAACGGATTAGAACATATGGAATATCATTAGAATCTTCACATCATCCCGAGAGACACTGTGTACTTTATTTCTAGTAGGGCAATCGTGTTTTTTTGTATATGTAACATTTAAAGTGTTATTATCTCATCGTTTGTCTTGATTAAATGTTAATTTCTAATCTAAAAACTAATCTTCTGATAGTCGGTCTGATTATTCAGCAGAAGCAATAATGTTAACTCGGTCTAAAGCAATTTCTGGTCAATAGACTGACAATGACTATTTAATTAGAAGACACGGTATGCGATGGTCTTCCCGAGATACTCAGTCAGAACGGTCGTAAGGTTGTGAGTAAATCAAACTGCAAATTGTGACTTTAAAAAAACGTTACGAGAATTCTTGGACATCATAAAGTAAATATAACTTAAGGTCAAGTATCAAGTATTTTTTTATTAGTTTCCAAGCCGAATAACTGTACAACCCTCCTGATGCTCATCATCGGTGATCGACGTCATAAGGTCTAAGAAACTTGAATTGTATAGTAGAACGGTTATTCTAATATAGATTCACCGAACTAGTAGGTGAACTCACGGGGTTCAAACCGGGACTGTTGCTAACAATGGCCCTAGCAAGAGCAGTGCTTCATAGAATTTACCACCGGATCGGAAACGCGACCCACTGAGAAGATCCGGCGAGAAACTCAATGAGCTGTGTCTATGTGTTAATTTACTCCGTCGATCCCTTCGTCGCAAGCCACGGGTTCGGCGGGGACGGTGACCGGTCCGGTATAAAGAAAAGAAGAAGTAAAACACCAGAGGACATTGAGCAAAATCAATTCATTTAATTAAAAGTTCCGCGACTAATTGCAAAAAGAAATTAATTATATCGCAGCGTCGCCGCGTCGTTACCAAATTACTTTTCACTTTCACACGGAAAACGATAGCAACACTTACAGCTGAAGCTGAACTAATCCCCAGTGACGTCACAGTACACATAAAACGAGGCGCGGTAATATGATGGGTGCGGATCGCGGGCGATGAATGAAAACGACATTGGCTTTATTACATTTACGACTATATCGTATGCGCTTTTTTTAACAACGGTTATGTTTTGGCGATAGTTACCTATCATTAAACTCAAGGTATCTGACAGATGCCAGAATGACCGCTAACGACATTTTCAAGATAAATCTTCATAGGTTTCATACTTCAGTGTTTTAAACAAGTTGCGAATAATAACATTGGGACCGTCAGTCTACCGAGAAATGTCATCTGCACAATGAAAGATTTTTCATTTCGTGGTTTTTTCTAAAACGTCACGTTACAGAACAGGGAAAACATTAAGGTCGGAGCATCTAACATAGTTTTAGACTTTCAAGCCAATAATCAAAAGATAATAATATAAGTACGACATAGGTATCCTCCAGCTGAATACTACAATTTCCATTTAAATTCATAAAACTAGACTCGGTAATGAAGCCAAAATCGTGGTGCGTATTAAACAAATAGTCAAAGCCGACTTGCTTGAATCCGCACGTAATATTTACAATCTTGTTAATTACCAATAGAACAGCTCATTAAACAATGTTATGCATAGTTGGACGTATTGGTAAATAGCAATAAAAGCGAGGACAGATTAGTCGGATCTACTTGTTCACGAAAATTACATTTCTACGGATCAATGTGTATTTCCTAAAAATAGTCAATAAAAAAATACTTATAGTCGATCCTTATTATCTTATATCTGAAGATTTAATTTTACTATTATACATCGCGAGCTATCAATGCTGAGAACCTCTTAAATTCATTTCGACCAATATATGATTATCGAAAACAGAAAAGTTGCGAAACAATTGAATTAGTTATTCATATTATGTGCTTTTTAATTTGTATACATGAATTTTTTCCAATGAAATAAAGTTTATGTGATAATTGATTGATCATACTCTTGTTGATAACCTTAACGCATTCATCTTTCATACTGTTCGCAGAGTCCTGCAATCAAGGTTTGCAACAACGTGGCATCTATTTATATTATTTACCGGATGTTTCGTAACTTCCGTTGTTAGCGCCGCGTTGTCTGTGCGCGTCGACTACCGCGATTATTAGCTAACTGTTTTGTTTTTTAGTCACGAATTCTATAATTTAAAAATAGAACATACATCTTTACTAGTTTGATTTAGTACTTGACTAATGTGTTTATTAAAAACTGATATATAGTACCGTAGAGTTGAGAGTAAGGACGCTTTATCCATTTTACTGGGAAGTAATATATAAATCTACAGTGGTTTTACGGATGTTCCGTTATAACTACTGAACCATGCATGCGATTGACTTGAAACTTGGTATCCATGTAGAAAATACATGTACTTAATGGATAGGCTAATATTTATATGAGTGTAGAACTCCCTACACCAGTCGTTGGGGCGTTAATGATGAGAATCTTTGTGGGGGTGAGAAATAGTAATGTTGATTTTAAATGCCCAGCGAAGCGGACGTGTACAGCTGTTAGTATAAAATTTGTGTGGCCCATATGTACCACGACGTAATTATTTTAGGCTGAATTTTCAAATAGGAAAAATAAGAGCCACGAAGAAATTTATAATAATTTTTGTGATTAATTAATTACATAGTTCGAACGTCTTCCCATATTCGGAATTCAATGATATCCGATAATGCTAGAACATATCCCAACGTTCCAATAATGTTAGTTTTTTTTAAGGTATTAATATAAATTTCAAAGATTTTTCTAAAGATTAAAGCTTGCGCATATTATCGTCTTGAACATTCTCTTCGTCTTAATCAATAGTGTTATCTGTAAATAAAGAATAGTCTCGTAATGTGTTATATATCCTGTTCCTGTGGATACGGTAGAAACGATAATCGCAAGTCAGCGCGGAAAAATACCGTATATGTAATCAGATTCAACATTTGTATTAATATTAATATATACAGCCATATCGGGTGCGGATTTAACATATTTTGATTAAATCGGAAATTGACGAAACTATATACTTAAAAACTAGCTGGCATGGCAAACGATGTTTTGCCATATAAATTATTTCTAGGAAAGATAAATAACCTAGATATCGACTGTAGCGCCATCTGCCGGGCTGATTTGTAAATCTAAACCATTCTCGAATGCGCCTGAAGGTACACAGAAAATTTCATTAAAATCGGTCCAGCCGTTTAGTGACAAACACACGCACAGAAGAAATTAAGAAATTTCAATCGGTTTTCAGTTACATCCGATCTATTAAACACACATTTATTATCCTG